GGCAGGCGTAGCTTGGGCCCATGCGGGTACCCATGGCTACCCCCTTTATTAAAGCAAAACTGGAGTCATTGAGGGAGGCTGGGAAAGAAATAGTGACAGCAGAACACATTACCTGCTGAAAGAAAAGGAGTTAATAAAACGAGCGAGACTCTACCTACGGGGTTTCGAAGAATCACTGGACTCTAAACGTTAACGGTTTTCTCTCTCTACCGAATTTTTGCAGCACTTTCTGCTTTTTAAGACCCTAGGAGACAGTAACGTAGCTGGCACACGCGGGGAACTAAAACGGTTCCAACTTGCCCCATTGCAGTAAACCGATCATAGCTTTCCGAGTTAATGTGAAATACTTGGGCCTGGCAGTATGAGTGAGTGAGAAAGAGAGAGAGTGTGCGTGACCGTTGGCAGTGTGAGCGGGAAGCTCGTGCCGCTGCTGTACCTGTGTGCGGCCAACGGCACTCGGGCGGCGCGGCCACGCTCCAGCACGAGCCCGGCCATGGAATGTGCACCGCGTTCCAACCGTCAGCCGCCGCCATCTTCCAGAACAGCAAGGCGCCGGGCCCCAGGCTCCACCGCCTCCTCCAGCAGCAAGCGGACAGCCTCCCAGAGGGCGGGATCGCAGGCCCAACTCTCAACCCTGCATCGAGAACGGGTACAGTACCTCAACCCACCCTCACCTCACATTGCCCTCTAACGGCCTGTGCACCTAATGTTACAAAACACGGTGATTTGTCGGGGTGGTTAATAATGGGAGGGGTGGTTTGATTTGGTGATGGGGAAAAAATACTCGTGGCACCTTCTCACCTTTGGTGGTTTACATTGCTCATAATGGGCTTTGTATGTAAATTCATCAATTGTAAAAGATGGGTGATTCACTCTGGGTGGTTAATAGATGTAAAAAAAAATTGGTGATATGGAAAAAAATGTTCAGTTGTATCAGAGCAGCCTTCCTGCTCCTCTGATGCTGCTTGGTCTGCTGTGTTCAACCAGCTCTACACCTTGTTATTCTCTGTATCAGAGCTGTTCTGGATAAAAGAAACACTCAATCTGGCCCCCTCATCTTTAGTGGGTTGCACTGTCCATAAGGGCTTCGCATGTAAATTAGTAAATTGTATGACATAGGTAATTCACTCTTGGTGGTTAATAAATGTAAACAAAAAGTGATGTGGAAAAAAAATCACTCAATTATGTGTAAGAGCCCTTTGGATATAAAAAAGAAAAACTATTATCCCTCACCCTTTATGGGCTACAATGCCTTTACTGGGCTATGCACATGAATTATTCAATTGGAAAACGTGGGTGATTTACTGGTGGCAGTTAATAAGTGAAAAAATATCATGGGTGACTTGGTGATGAGAAAAAAAAATCAGTTGTGTGTGGGAGCTTTTCTGGATATTAAAAAATAAAAACTTCATCTACGACTCTTGAATCTTCTGGTCCCTAGAAAAAAGGTGGGTAGCATTCAGAGGCATTTAAAAGAAGGCCTTGCGGGGGGGAGGATTCAACAATGCTGAAAGTGGCCAAATAAACTAGAGGTAGAAGAGAAGTCGAAAACAAGTCAGAACTACTATCACAGAAACCGGTTAACACACAGCTCATCCAAAATGCAGCACCTTAACTTGGCAATAAAAATAATATACTGCAGATGCTGGCAAATAGAAACAAACACAGAAAATGCTGGAAAAACTGGTCTGGCAGCATTCCTGGAGAGAGAAACAGTTAACATTGAGTCTGAATGACTTTTCTTTCAGAACTTAACCTGGTAGCTCAGCCCTAGCTGCCTATCCTTATATTTCTTATTCAATGTACTTTGTTTTTTTGGAATTCTGAGGACTCATGGTCTGGAAAGAATATTTTCTAATCCGATTTCTGGGTAAATCCACATCCATAACACCAATCTCTGTTGGCATCAGCACTTTGAGATACGTGAAAGTGAAGTGGAACATGGATTTAAACATGTATAGCCCACATACCTTAAGGTATGCGGTACCTAAGCAGTCTATAAAAACAAGACTTAATGAATTAAATGGTTTGAAAAGAGCAAAATTGTGCATGGTACATGAAGATCATCCCTACAAATCAATGAACATGTACTAAAGTAATAAAAGGTTGAGAAAATAAAAGTGGTTGAAAGATGGAAAATAATCTCAGGGTAAATTAAAGGTGAATAGGATGTAGCAAAATTGTAAGGTGTCACAACACCCACAGATTCAGAAGGGGAAAAAGGAAATCATTTTAAAGTCGCATTAAATTTTGAAGATAATATTCAGTCAAGAATACCTGAAGAATCTGAGATATAAAGTTCCTAAAATTTACATTGAGCTTGGTTGGAATGGAGGCTAAAATGAGACAGTAAGTTGACATTACAAACCATAGGGAACATCAGGGTCACAGCCACAGACAGGATAAAGTTGTCTAAACATTCATCCAAATGTTATGTAGTCCCCTCAGTATTGTAATTAGTAAATACCATACAGACTGCATACATTTTTTTATTTGAGGTGTGGGTGTCACTGGTTGGATCAACATTTGTTGCCCTTGAGAGAGTAGTGGTGAGCTGCCTTTTGGAACCACTGTAGTCCACCTGCTGTGGGTTGACCACATGCTGTTAGGAGGGAATTCCAGGATTTTTGACCCAGTGACAGTGAAGGAACAATGATATATTTCCAAGTCAGGATGATGTGGAGGTGCTGGTATTGGACTGGGGTGGACAGGGTCAAAAATCACATGAAACCAGGTTATTGTCCAATAGGTTTACTTGAAAACACAAGCTTTCAGAGTCTCGCTCCTTCTTCAGGTATCAGTGAGAGAGGTGGCATTATTTATAAGCAAAATATCAAAGGATCATAGAACTGATGCGATTGTATTGAACAAAGCTAAGATGCCTGTTAAATCTTTGATCAGGTAGAAAGGATTAATATGCAAATCCCAGAATTTCTTTCAAGTGACCGCCTCAAGATAACCAAAGGTTTTAATAGTATTCCAGGGCTGACATCTCAGGTCAGACAATGCATTTTGGGTGTGAAGGCCTTGTTTAGGATCTGGATGTTTAGAATCTGGATATTTAATGTACAGCCAGATTCTAAATAAGATCTCACACCTAAAATGCGTTGTCTGACCTGAGATGTCACTTCTGGTATACTGTTAAAACCTTTAGTTATCTCAGGGCAGTGACTTGAAAGAAATTCTGGGATTTGCATATTAAACTTTTAATCAGTTAGAAAGGATTATCAGCCATCTTAGGTTTGTTCAATACATTTGCATCAGTTCTATGACCCTTTGATCTTTTGCTTATAAATTCCATGTCTGATGTCACCTCTCTCACTGACACCTGAAGAAGGAGTGAGACTCCAAAAGCTTGTGTCTTCAAATAAACCTGTTGGACTATAACCTGGTGTAATGTAATGTTTGACCAAGTCAGGACGGTGAGTGGCTTGGAGGGGAGCTTGAAAGTAGTGGTGTTCCCACATATCTGCTGACCTATCATTTTGGCTTTTCAAAAACTGATACCTGGCATATCACAAAATATGTATTTTCATGTGTTTTCAGCTGGTGTCTTTTTTATGACATACCTCACTATGTTTACCGATATTAACTGTACTCTGATCACATAATAATAAAGGTTAGGAATGCTGTAATTGCTGAATGATACTGCCCATTTACACTGCTATGAAGTAAGGAAGTTCACAAAGATATTTAAGTACAAGAGTAGAGTTCTCAGCTACATCAGCTTATACCAGTCAGTGAAATTTTAATCATGTCATTTCTGTTCTGCCCAAAGTTAAATCCCTAGCTGACATTTCAATACTGGTAAAGATTTGTTGAAAAAGTCAGCCTTCGTAAAATATTGGAGATAATTTAGGTTTGTAATTTATAGATGTTTTCTAATCAACCTCTTCAGAGATGTTATGGCACACCTCTGGAACAGGTGGGACTTAAAGGTAAGGACAGTACCACAGCACACAACAGCCCTTACTTGTATACTTCCAAATTCCCTGTTACTGTGAATATGTGTATTTTCAAAAACAATCGTATTAATTTTCCATAAAGTGCACTTTTTCTTCTACCTAACTAAATATTGTACATAATATGGTACTGTGCACACTATCTGATTTCAAATCTGTGGATTTCAAATATGACACACCAACAATGTCTGCTGAAGAATGTACTTCTCAAATACATCAAGAGGCACTTCAGGAGTTTGGGCTTATTGCCCATAAGTAGTAACAGATTTTTCCCTTAGAATTGTTACTAAAGGCACAAATTGGCAGCGCATCCACCATTCACCAGGCACAGATTACATAGCTATTTCTCTATATTGTACGAATGTGTGAACATATTGTACCATCTTCCAGGTAAGTCCAGGCCCCTCTCGACCTTTAACAAATAAAACCACCTTGGGTTGGTCTTGGGGAGAATTCAGACCAGGTCACATGACTGTCTCCATTCTTCCATTGCACCTTAAAGAGACAGGCCCACACCATCATAATCTCATAAACTTTGCATTCATAATATTTCCTTATTTACAATTTCCTTTTGGCCTTGTGTTTGACTAAGAAAAAATGTGAAGAAAATTAGAATATGGTATCCACTTTAAGTAGAATTCTATTATAAATGACATCCTCAAAAAGACAGAGCAAAAACAATATGAAATCGCCAGTAACTGAGCAGAATTTAATGCCATCATGGTGGTAGATAGGCATTTAATCAATTGAAAGGGTGGCAACTGGGAGACCTGTTAACTTCCTCCCCTCACTGTGATTGTGTCTAATTAAGTCCATAGGAGGAAGGTCCCTGAATGACCTTCCTGCCTGCCACTAATGGAAATCTTTAAATGCACAATGAATGCGCACTTAAAGACCTCATTCCATACTGCAGGCAGAAAATTTGCAATTTCTGCAGAATTCCTAGCCTCTGACCTGCTTTTGTAGCTATATTATTTATATGATTGGTCCAGTTCAGCTTCTGATCAATTGGTAACCCCCAGATGTTAATAGGGGGGAATTCATTGATGGTAATACCATTGAATGTCAAGGAACAAGGTTTAGATTTTCTCTTATTGGAAATGGTCATTGCCTAGCACCTTTGCAGCGTGAATTTTACTTTCCTTTATCAACCCAAGGCTGGAAGTTGTCCAGGTCTTGTTGCATATGGACACAGAGTTCATTACCTGAGGAGTCATAAATAGTGCTGAATATTGTACAATCATCAGAAATCATCATCCACTCTGACTTTTTAATGGCACGTAAGTCATTGGTGAAACTGCTGGAGATGTTTGGGCCAAGGACACTACCCTGTTGAACTCCAGCAGTGATGTCCTGGGGCTGAGATGATTGACCTCCAGCGACTACAACCATCTTCTTTTGTACTAGGTACAGCTGCAACCTGCAGGAAGTGCTTCCCCGATTCCTGTTGACTCCAATTTTCTCAGGGGTCATTTGTTATGACGATGGGATGGAACCCTAGAATACTTCAGGTTACTGTATTTTTTTGTGGACTTTTGCATGAAACTACTAGTTTAGATCTTAATTCCAAAAATGTGCTTTAAAACAGGGCTGATACAGCCAAAAATGATTGGATATAAGTTGTGTCTGACTAGAGAGAGAGACAAATGGAATATAATACTTAAAGTGTCTCAGAAACTTCAAGCAGACCTGAATGTGATTTCTTGTGACCAGAGTGATAACAAGGAGCTGATGACCTTCTGGATTATGTCCAAAACTACAGACACATTTTGTGATTTTCCTTTTGAAGAATACACAAGTATACAAGTTTAAAAAGCCAGTTTCAACTTGACTGGAATGTACTAGTGGGTCTGAATGTTTACATCTGTATCCACCTGCATTCAAGGGCTGGCATACTGTGAAGATCACAGTTGAAAAACTCTCCCCTTTTTGGCCTCATGTTACAGATAAAGAGCCTTTCTCTTCAGAGTTCTCCAAATCAATTTTAAAAATTAGAGTTGAATAATGGAATCTCAATCAGCCTACAAAACCAAGAATCTTAAAAAAAAAACAAGTTCAACTACGATTATTATTGATACCCGTAACGTCCACTGTAAACACTGCAATGTTCAACTATCCACTCTTCCTGAACAAATCAAATACTGATTCATTTTCTTTTTGTAACATATCTTTTTCAACTCTCATTCCTAATCAGTGTGCATGTGTGTTCCGTTAGTGTTACTTGTTGATTAAGTAATTAATAAACTCACTCCTTTTGCTAATTCAAGAAAGCCTGATTAAAGTAGCTTCTTTTAATACATAAGTTCATTTGGGCCTGGGAGAAAGCTGTTCACAAGGGGAGTGATCTCTTTCAAGTTTACCTTGTTCCAACCAATCAATGGGATGGGTGATTAATGAAAGGGAGCCAGTTCATCTTCCCTCACATGGGAACATATTAGTGTGGAGTATTGCATCTGAAACTTTAATGAAATGGGGAACCTTGTCCAGGATTTGGTCATAAAAGCTTGTAACCATCTCTGGTGTTCTTTTTGCCACGATTAAACCAAAGCAACAATGAGGCTAGAGGATGAGTGACCCTGGCAGAACCCAAAGTGAGTGTCAGCAAGCAGGTTATTCCTTTGTAATTGCTACTTGATAGCACTGTCACCAACCCATTCCATCACTTGTAACGGAGAGTAGGCTGTAATTGGCCTGGTTAGATTTGACCTGCTTCATGTTAAGCGGATGTACTTGGGGATTTTTCCACATTTCTAGGTCAATAACAGTGTTGCAGCTGTACTGGAATTTTTTTTCTGAAGAAGGTTCTAGGCCCGAAACGTCAGCCTTCCTGCTCCTATGATGCTGCTTGGCCTGCTGTGTTCATCCAGCTCTACGCCTTGTTGTCTCAGATTCTCCAGCATCTGCAGTTCCTACTAGCTCTGGCTTAATGGTAATGGTTGAGTGGGAGATATGCTGGGCCAGGAGGTTGCAGATTGAGTTGGAGTACAATTCTGCTGCTGTTGATGGCCCATCATGCCCAGTCTTGAGTTGCTAGATCTGTTCCAAATCTGTCCCATTTAGCATGGTGATAGTGCCACAGAACATGATGAAGGATATCCATGATGTAAATAAGGGACCTATCTTCAGAATGAATATGCAATGATGGTTCCTACTGATATTGTTAAGGACAGATAATCTACAAAAGTAGACTGCGAAGTACAAGGTCAAAAAAGTTTTTTTTCCTTATGTTGTTTTCTTCACCTGCTGCACAACTGTCGAGCTGATATGTCCTTTAGGATTCTTCCAGCTTGGTCAGTAGTGGAGCTAATCAGCCACATTTGGTGATAAACATTAAACCCCATGCCCCCCCCGCCCATCCAGACATTCTGTACCCTTAGCATCCTCATTGCTTTCTCCAATGGGATTCAACAAGGAGGTGAAGATATTATGGAGATATAACGGGGTCTGGAGTTAATGTTGAGAACTCCCAGACCAATTTCCTCCACACAGAATACTATTATACCACCACCTCTGTTTGGACTCTCTTGCTAGTGGAACAGGACATAGCCAGTCTTGATAATGGTGGAGCTTGAGACATTCTCTTTGAGGTATGATTAGACTAGTCATGTACAGACTGACATATAATACAGCTGTCCCAATTTTGGCACAAGTCCCTTGATAAAGTAAGGAGGACTTTGCAGGGCCAAGTTTGCTATTGTGGTTTCCAGTGCCTAGGTTAATGCCATTGTGGTTTCATTCCTTTCTTTAGACGTTGTAGCAGGTTTTGTACAATGAAGTGTTTGCTAGGGTATTTCAGAGGGCAGTTAAAAGTCAACTACATTGCTTATTGCCTTTGTTGCTTTTAATTTTATTTTCCTACTGTTTTCTGATTATTTACGTTTTCTAATGGCAGATTTGACATACTATAATGAGGTCTGAACCTAATTTTAAAGTTGTTCAAACTCATTTGCAGCATAATTATTTAATGACATGCATGAGTGAGTATTTTAATGATAAAGTTGCTGAAATATATTTTGAAAGTTTTAATCATTGGCAAACAACCGCACAAATCTTATTTTTCTTGAACCATTTCACGAATCCATGAAAGCACCTCAGTATTAATCTCAGCCACGATATCTTCTCTTGTTCTTCCTTTAACTTCCATTCCATGGTTAGCTCCTTCGACCCAGTGTACTTTGACAGTCACTGGCATTTGGTTCACCACGCCATCCAATAAATCCTAAATGTACCAATAATTGTAAACTCATAATTAAATACAGATACAATCACAATATAACAGTCTAATGGATGTAATACAGTAAGTAAAATTAGCATATTTTACTGAAACCTTCATTCCGATTACTTAAACACTCTTATGATTGCTTCTCTTTTCACTATAAGAAATTATTTTATAAAATACTTAATCTGCAGCAATTAGGTTCTCTCAATAATTATTAAGCACAGTTGGCTAAAAGAAGGGTCTAGGCCCGAAACGTCAGCCTTTCTGCTCCGATGATGCTGCTTGGCCTGCTGTGTTCATCCAGCTCTGCACCTTGTTGTCTCCTCTCCCTCATTTTCAGATTACTCTTAGTAATGACACTTGTACCCCCAGACAAATTTCTTGTTAAGGGACCGAACCTGTTCCAGATATTAAGGATGCCAGAGCTATCAAAAATTTTTTGTGGACATAATGTAAAATGTCACCAGGCACTGTAGGCAATAGAGAAAGAAAGCATCATTAAACTTTATTACTACTTAAAAAGCTGAATCAACTTATGTTATTCCCTCTCAGACATTGATCAACAATTTAAGCACATTTGCTCCAGTTATATCGATATTAAATTAATTCACAGCAGTTTGGTAACATCTTCACTATTTCTATTAGTCATGAAAATTGTTTCACTATAACTTACTTTCTCACACATTTCATCTGCTGATCCAGAAATTAGAAGGACTGGGTGGCGTACTAGAAGCAGATCTTCTGTTCGAAGTTTACTCTGCTGCTTTGGTGGGTGCAGTGGATATGACAGGCAAATGAGACCTTGCACAAGCTCTTCATCAGGGGTGTTCTTACACTGCTTGACAATACAGGCAGCAGCTCTAGATCCCATGGATCGACCTAGAAAACAAAGATTGTTTTACATATAGGCGTTACTGATAATTTTACAACTTTTCATACACATTCAATTCAATGTAGAAATTGTTAAGGATAACAATGTTGATGACAAGGAAAGTTTTCACTTACCCCCTAGAAACCATCTTTTTATTTCATAGTCTGTTGATGATTTCAGATATTCCTGCAATGATTGTTGTTGAGAAACAAATTATAATGTAGAATAGCAATTCATAATGAGAGGAAAAACTTGTATTTTCTAAAGACCTAAGGTGAGTTGCCCAATAATTCATTGTATAGTTGAGCCATGCAAACTGCAAATGCTCCAGAGTTTATCACCAATCTGTACCGAATTAGTCAATCTAAACCAGAGTAGTTGCGACATCCCTGGATTAGGGAGGGAAATCTCAATCAGTGTTTCCATTCTTGCTCATGTCCTGTGACCAGTGCAATACGTGTGGACATTGCATGAAAGCATCAATGGGTTAGTCACCCCACAATCGCTAGCCTGCTGACCTCTACTATCAAAGTACACACTTGAACATGGAACGGTAGAATGAGTTTCAGGAGCCTACGGATAGCACCTAAAATTAGGTTAACATTGTCAAGGGAGGAAGGAGAAATAATAAACACAAGGGTGCAAAACATTGGAGTTTTATTAACAGATACTTAATCTTACCATCACTGCCCTGTAAGCTCTAATTCTGTAGTCTAGGTTGAGGCCTTTGCACGTGAATCTCACACATAAGATTCCATTAGATGCAAGAAATTTTGTTATAGATATCAGTTGATGGAAATTCATGTCTCCGCCTGCACCATGCGTGAGAATTACTCCATAGGTGAAAGGTGCATTTGGTACTGTATAGATTGCATTTAGAACATTTTCCCCAAATGGTATTTTAAAGTGAACCTAAAAAAAATCCAGAAGATAAGTTTCTTATGTCATACTATCAAACAATAAAATATCTCATTATAATACACTAAATCATGTAATATGCAAACAGCACATATTCTTAAAATGCATATTATTGTTTTTGAATTGAAAACATGAGCACAAAAGTTAAATTCAGTAAAGTGAAATGAAAAGATATTTTCCAAAAGTTGTCTTTTGTACAGCGTATGGATTTTAGTTCAATGTTCATTAATTCTTATTACCTCCCCCGCCTCCAGATGTGTACATCGAATGATCCAATGCAAATTGCTTTTTGAAATTAATTTGAATGGGATTTCTATTTTCTTATAATGAAACCTTTATCTATGAACAGAATTTTCAGTGTCGCTGTAATATAATGACAATAATAGAGAATTGTAGATTTTGTCAAAACTGCTTGAAATCAAATTGCCTGTTTGTAAATTCTGCTATTTCACAATATTTCAAAGTAAAAATCTGTCACAATTGGTAGTGTCAAACAGGCAGTATTATTATCAACCTCCATTATGCAAAGTGCCTGATATTTAATTCCATTGACTGCGATGAAACTAAGTATCAGTTCTGCTATAATGGACACCTAATCCAATACTGCTTGTTTAGCACCAAAGCAATGGCAAATTACAACCCTTAGCTTTTTTTAAATGTAGAGTCCAAAACAATGCTTAAAGAAGATATTCAAAAACTCGGGCCGAATTTCTGCTTGATATGGTGCATACATATCATACCGAAGTCACAGATCCCACTTACATAAATGTAAGTTCCCACACTGTGGGTCATATCCAACTGGGGTCACAGAAATAGCAAATGGGACAGTGAACTGCCCCACGCCAAGTCTGCATTTTTTTAAATTTCAAAAATATACTTTATTCATAAAAATATATATACATATCTACACTAAAGCAGTTCGGTTCTGAACAGCAGCAAAAGAGACACAAACAAACATTGGAGTTTAACTCTATCCAACAAATAAACTAAGGACTATATTTACATACATTTGAAACACTGGGGGAGGGGCATCCGATAACTGAATGGACCACCGTTTAACTTCGGCAGAAAAACCTTAGACAGTGGTCTTTACCCACTGTGCCTTAAAAGCAACTGCTCCAAGCTTTAATACATCCCTCAGCACATAGTTCTGGACCTTGGAATGTACTGGTCTGCAACACTTGGCCAAGGTCAACTCCTTGCTTTTGAAGACCAACAGGTTTGGGCAGACCAAAGAGCATCTTTCACAGAGTTTGTGGTCCTCCAGGTGCAGTTGATGTTTGTTTCAGTGCAAGTCCTGGGGAATAGCCCATCAAGCAGAGTCCTGTGTCACAGAGCTGCTCAGGACAAACCTTGACAAAAACCACTGCATCTTTCTCCAAGCTTCCTTTGCAAAGACACATTCCAGAATGTGTAAATCTGTAGCCTGGCCACCACGACACCCCACAGCTACTTCGATGACAGCATGTGGTGGCACAAGAATTATCACCTTACCACCAGCTATGTCTTGGTGTTTGTTGGAAAATTCAGATGATAAGACATTTCATGAAATGACTTTGACATTTTGTTTTGACTTTGATACGCACTGGCACTGAAGGCAAGGCAGTGTCCAATCCCTCCCTGCTCTGATCAGCTCTGTCTCTCTAAGTCATCATTGTGATCTTCACTTGCTAGATTATTGAAGTGAAATAAGCTAGTTGCTTAAGGGGGAAAATCAATTCCCATTAAATCTTCTGCCTTCTCTGCAAGATGATTTAAACTTGTCTCCTGCAGAGTCACCACAGCACACCACCTTGGCTTTGGGCTGTCAGAACTGCTGCACCTCTTCATTGGGTGTTGCCGTGTGTGTGGGTGGGGTGAGGGGCTAATTATGTAGTATGTGTTCCTGTGTGGTAGCTGGGGGCAGAGAGGCTGGCTACAGTATGTGAGGATGGGTTAGAGATAATGCTCCTAATCCAAGAATTGGAGTGGCACTGATGAAGCCAATGGATTAGCAGGAACATAAAATAACATTTTGACAAAGTACTTTAAATGTAAGAAGGCCCGAAACGTCAGCCTTCCTGCTCCTATGATGCTGCTTGGCCTGCTGTGTTCATCCAGCTCTACACCTTGTTATGGGTTTGGTGGTGTTTGGTTTCAAGTATCAATATGGGGTTGCACTGGAAATTATTTGGGGGCACTGTTTAGCCGGACTCCTAAAACTTTGTTGGAATGTAATTACCTAAAACTTAGCAATTTATGAGCCCCTAATAGTGACCAGCTTCATAACGCTTGGCGTCAGCACTACTTGACCGACTACAATATTGATTCGTGCCTTCATCTACAACTGGTCAAACCTAACAGGTTTCAACGCTTGTTGGTCAAATAAACAACCTCGAGTACTGCGAAGGAGGAGGAAATTACTGCAGCTGCTGGAATTAGTACTGAAAACAACATCCGAGCTCTGATGAAGAGTCATCTACACTCGAAACGTTAGCTTGCTCTCTGCTGTGATCTCAAACACGTGTTGTTTTCAGTTGAGTTCTGCGAATCTGCTTGGCTGAGGAATTCAGTTTCAGTATCTGCTGGGGCCAGTTAAATAAGTTCCAGTCTTCAATCGCTAGCTGCATCATCTTAACAGTCACAACGAAGGCAGCGCTTGCTGCTGTTTGGAGTTTGCAAACAAGAGTAATTGGAGCACGTTAAACATCAAAACTGAAATTCCGATAGTGAACAATGTAATCACCTAACCCCATCTCAGTACACAACTTCCAGAAAACCCATTGCAAAAAGAGCAGCAGTTCGAAATATTCAGAATATGTTGAAAACAATTAAGAAACGCACCGTTTCGATTAAGGCTAAGTCCTTCAACTCCTGCATGGTCAATTAATTCAGATCTTCTGAAAGTACCTCCTCCACGCAAAGCGGCACATGAACTTTTGTTCTATCATTCGCCAACTTAGATGTCACTCATTGGCTGATCAAGTTGAAAAATATCAATTTTCAAAAAATATCAATTTTCAATCACAATTAGTATGTAATCCGTATCATTAATTTTCTTCCATTTCCAATTGGTTCATAATGAAGAAAAATAAACAATTTAAACTAAACATTTTGCAGAGCCATTTTTAAAGCGCTGTAAAAATATCGAACTTTTTTTTGCCTAGGCCAGCACTTATCCATATCAAAACTATTCTTGAGCGCAGGTGGTGAGGCGCTTTCTTGAACTGCTACAGTCCATTTGGCGTAGGTACAAGTACATCCACAATGCTGTTAGTGAGGGAGTTCCAAAATTTTGATCCAGCAACTAGATATTTGAATCTGTGTGACACTAATTTTACTTTTATTGCTTTTATGTCACATTTGTAGAGTTGTCCAATAAAATGTTCACCCTTGCCAAACTCATGGCAATCACTATGATCATGAAATGGTACAAAATATATGTAACATTGATAACACAAACGTGTAGTATTTTGAAAACAGATTTGAAATATTAAGAATAAATAAGGAGTAGACTGTTCAGCCCCTTGAGCCTGCTTCGCCATTCAACAGGCTGATCTGATATTCCTCACGTCCAATTGCCTGTAGAATCAGCAGCATTGACACACTGCCCCAGCTTCAAGAGTTTTGCATTCCAACTGTCCTGCCAAGCAAACCTACTGTGTGTACTCTCAAAGCATGGTGACAATCTGTAATCTAAAGTGTCCCGTTTCTGACAGTGTGCTCCAAGTTTACTCTTTCTAAATAATCTTCAAGACTAAACACTCTTTATTTTATCAGAATTGACCAATTAAGAGATGTGGAGGGAAGAGAGGCAAGGTTTAGTTTCTGCACTTGTGTTGTTTATGCTCTGTCATCTGCTGTTTTCCAAAACAGGATCTGGATAGTTATAAACCTCCTATAAATCCCTCATTTTATACCAACTGTGCCTTATTCCTTCCAATGACTCACTTCAACAGATGTCTGTGAAATTTAAAGACAATGGGATGTTATTGCATTGACTCAACTTGACACAACAGCCCATTTAAATCCTTATTGGCATCTTGTGCAGAGCTACACATCATTCATGCACCTCATCTGGTTCAGCTGTACAAGGGGGCCAGGAGGAAAATTGGAAAGTGATAGTGGATTCAATAGTTAAGGGAACAGACAGACATTTAAGTGGTTGCAGGATGTATGCTGCCATCTGGTGCAAGGGTCAAGGAGAACACAAGGCTCCTACAGTCAGTGGCCCAGGTCGTTACCAACATCATAGGTAGAAAGGGGGATGTTCTGTATTCAGAGGTTAGGGAGCTATGAACAAAACTAGCAAGCAGGACCTCAAAGGTAGTAACTTCCAGTATACTCCTGGAGTCACATGGAAATCAGTACAGAAATAGGATAGCACAGGTGTTTGCATGGTTGGACAGATGATACCTGGGACATTAAGACATTATGAGAAAGAACTACTACCGTTTGGAGGGATTGCACCTGATCAGAGTAGAGTTTCCTTGCAGGGCAATTTGCTAGTGCTATTTGAGTTGATTTAAAATAACTTGGCAGGGATGTGGGAATCAGGAGATAATAGGAAGGAACACAGGAAACAGAAAATAGGAATTCATGGGAATGAAAGTAAGAGGGAGTGTCATGTTGTCTAAATTAGACCAAAAGATATATAAGCAGAATTAAGCCATTCGGCCTATCAAGTCAGCTCCACTATTTGAACATGATTGAAACGTTTCTCCATCCCATTCTCCGGACTATTCCCCATAACCCTTGATTGCCTTACCAATCAAGAATCTATTTATCCCTGTAGAGAGTACTCAGATTACTGTGGATACAGATGAATACTCAAGTATAATTATGAGTAACATTGGGAGCTGCGGGCATAAATTGCCATGAGGAAGTGAGCTCCCAACTCTCGGGATTGATCATTTGATTGATTCATTTAAAAAAAATAATCTCAAGGACTCTGCTGGAACAATTCTGGAGAAAAATAATCAGATATTAGAATAATTGTGCATCTTGTTTATCAACTTGGTATGCTATTGTTTTCTTGCTAGAAATACATTGGAGATAGATTATGAATGGCTTAGAGAATGGCTTTTTTGATTAATCAATAATCATTTAATCAGGTAAAATACTGTCTATTTTCCAATAAATGAAAAAGGGTGAGGTTCTGAGGCACCATGGAGATCATTTGATGAAACCTCCAGGAATACATCCAGTCACCGATGGTGATACCAATATAGAAATACATCATTCACAGAATCCCTACAGTGCAGAAGCAGGCCATTCAGTCCATCAAGTCCACACCAACCCTGCCAAGAGCATCCTCCCAAGAACCACACACACTCCCCTACCTCATCCCTGTAGCAATGCATATCCCATGGCTAATCCACCTTGCCTGCACATCCCTGGACACTATTGGCAATTTAGCATGGCTAATCCACCTAATCCTGCACATCTTTGGACTGTGGGAGGAAACCAATGTAGACATGGAGTAAATGTGCAAACTCCACACAGACAGTTGCCTAAGGCTGAATCGAACCCAGTCCCTGGCACTGTGAAGCAGCGGTGCTGATCACTGAGCTAGCTTGTTACCTAATTTGGAATGAATTGTAACAATTTATAGAATTATCATAATCAGGGCTGAGGAACAGGGGGTGCAGATACTGCTAATCACCAGACCAGGCCTTTAGCTACTCTGCCCACTCTTCATAGAATCTCCACAGTGTGGGAGCAGGCCATTCGGCCCATTGAGTCCACACCGGCCCATCTAGTCCATTACCAACCCTCTGAAGAGCATCCCACCCAGATCCACCCCCTACACCATCCCTATATTTCCCACTCTAAACATTATGGGCAATTTAGCATAGCCAATCCTAACCTGCTTTGGACTGTGGGAGGAAACCGGAGCTCCTGGGGAAAACCCACGCAGACACGGAGAATGTGCAAACTCCACAGACAGTCGCACGAGGCTGGAATTGAACCCAGGTAGCCGCCTCTTGAGTGGCCTTAATTTGTTTGCAGACAAGTCCATAATGGGCATGCCTCTCTGTGGCAAAGTTCTAGTGCTCGAGATCTAATTGTTCCAGAGCAGGAGAAGTAGAGGTAGTGTTGCAATTCTATAGTACCATAATTGGTCTGTACTTGGGATTACTAGTTTAATTTTGGGTCAATTAGAAAGGTTATAATAGAAATAGAAAAAATGCATTGTAAGTTCGCTGGCATATTATGAAGGATGAGGAGTCAGAGTAACGAAGAGAAACTTGAGAAGTTTGGATCTTTTTCCTAAAGCTAAGAGGGACGTGTGTGAAAGAGAGAAAGTGAGTAAGAGGTGTAAATGAATGTGAGAAACGTGAGTGAAGGAGAGAACCCCGAGACTTGGAGTGAGCTAACCCTTCCCTTTCCCATAGAATGGTCACAGCACAATGATACAAGTCCATGTGCCTTTTCAGAAAACTACTCTAAACTTTGTTGTGGACCATACCAAACCCCCTGCAATTATATCAAGGAGTCAGAACCTTACACTTGCTTTTAAATAAAATAAGGCTATGTTCTAGCTGTAACTTGATTGGTCACCCTACTCGGCTTTGAGAATAATAGATTATTTAACTACTAAATAACAACAGTTCTAATATAGTAATATTCCATGAACAAACCCTTGGCAAAGGTAAAGTCAATGAAACAGACTGTCTCACTTGCGATTCTAACAGCAGAAAGAACTCCAGCTTTTTGCTGCAACATATAGAAAGAGATAGCTCCCACAGCCAACTTCCAAAACCCCAACAACTTTGAAAGCTAAACTAAAGCCTGATTCTGTGGAAACCTGACTCCATCCATTCATGCTGCTTTTATTGTTTCAACTTTTAAAAAAACACAAGCCTCACAAGCTGTTTACTTTATTGGCTTAGAATAAATCATTCAGAACCTCTGTTTTAACCTCTCTTCATTAAAGAGGACAAAATACACCTCTAAAAGCCATAGTACCATCACAATTTGCTTCAAACTGACCAAATACAGTTTTGCTTGATTGTATCATACTTTGTGTTGTCGTCTGAGCTGAATGATTTTTTAGACATTTAAACAAATCTGCCAATGTACTGTTTTGTAAATCTATTATTCTACATTTATTACTTCCACCAGTTGGAATGTGATCGCATTATGTATCATTAAGCAACTATTAATATAATAATGACTGAACCTCAAAAGAAATTCATTTGCTGTAAAGCAGATAAGCCACAGTGAAGTTGTGAAAGATGTTACATAAATACAACACTTTAGCTGTTAAAATTATTAATATGGGGAGAGAGGCACTAAATATATTTGTTGTTGCTTATTTGAAACTGCAGATCAAGATTGACTTGGGGATTGCTCTCAGCAATGTCGAAGAATTCTGGCATTGGAGACACTAATTAAATACATACACATAAAATATTGAATAATTGAGATCAAGATGCTGGTGAAAGGACACATCAATATGTAGCAACTTATAAATATTAATTAGAACATGTAACTATACAGCTCTATAACACAGCTTGATCAGAACTGAATTAGCTTCACATAGGAATCAAAGTTACCAGTCAGAGAATTTTTACAAGAATCAAAACTTATACTGGAAATTTGTACTGACATATGTTGGTTCATTGACAGCATGAGTTTCCAGTCCACTGCCACTAATTGGCAGGCAATTAAGAAGTTACTGCCACAAAGTTTGCTGTTGTAGTCCTGCTGGCCACCCTTGAGAGCTTGAAACCCACAAATGGTCCCAAAGTCTTACCCATCCAGGAAAATCACAGCCTCTGTTCCTGAATGTTGCAATGGGTCACTGCTTGTTTCAAAATAAAGTTTGTGATTTAGAAATTGGAAGAAAAGTTAACAAAATTTGTCATAAACTCAAATAATTTTTTCCACTGGTGTGTTAGTGTGCATATTATTTTCACACAATTCTCAATATTGCCTTCATAAACTTAAATACTCTTTTACTTTTTTGTATAGTTTTCAGTAAACATGTCATACAAAGTGGTTTAACAAACATGCACTTTAAAAGTCTTAGAAAGTCATACACAGATTATTTTATTGTAGTTCATGAAAACGCAGATGTATAAAAAGATTATTTAAAAAAACACCAGACTAATCTTCTATAAAATTAAATTGCAATCCAATAAAAAGAATAAGCTACCTGTCCCCAAAACATTTCTTTGTATCAGTTATAAAAGACTATAACATTTCATAAACATATTAAAAATATAATTAGCATATCTTGTGATGCAACATAAACTATAAAAAATGTTATTGCTATAAATGTGTATTATGGCGTTTCCAGTACTTGAAAATTGTGAATAATATCTCATTATTGATACTTAAGCAGCATGCACAATCTAGGGCAGTTTTGCTACCGTACTTTTAGTTCCATTTGACAGTACTCTGTTCAACAATTCCAGACAACCAAAGCAGATCAGAGGATATCGCTCTGACAATTTTCAATTTCTTCTGTTAATGAGTCTCCTTCTAATTCTTGATGATGAACTAGTCCATTTTGGTTCTTTTTTAAAATGATACTAAAGACTAATCAAAACTTCCTCAATACAATCTGGACCATCTTCAAATCACAATATTTACTATAATTAATGCTGAATTATAATCATTTTAAAATCAACTTCTGCAGAGACATTCTGAAAAGGTAGCACATTATAATGAGTTTTGGTAACTAACTCAAATTTAGGCTTTCTATATTAATATTAAACATACAAGTCAATTTATATTAAAAACAGTTCATGATGAATTCCCAGACATAACTGTACAGTGTAGTGAGGTAATATTTGGTGGTACAAGAAATAAAAAAAAATTGGATTTAATTTAAAAGGATTGAAAAACAGATAAATGCTCACATAAAACATTTTGAAAATATACTGAAAATGATAAAAGTAGACAATTTGATTGCTCATGACTATAAATAGCACCAATTGTTACATTATTCTCTCTTCGATCCTGTTTAAAATCAGTTTTTCAGAATAAATTTAAAATGTTCATTCCAAAGATATAATGTACACAATTGCATACACAAACACATGCCCCATTTAATCATGATTTATTTGTAGTCAGGCTAATTGCTATCCCAATGTCTAATATCACTCCAGCTGTTTACTTTAAATTTATAGATACATGGTGAACAGGTCCAGGTTGTTATTATAGAGTTTTTGAAAGGAAAATGGGAAAATATTGTCCTAAAGTTGTTCCACAAAATAAGCATAGCTTCTTATTTCATATCCATGAATTATTTTTGGCATAGTGCATATCTATTCATTCAATCAACATCTAATGAACATTGAGGCTGTTGAATTTGAAATAGAGCAATTTTTAAAATTAAAAATTTTACATGATGTATTAATAAAAAAAAAATCAGCTGAGTAACAGTCTTGTGGGCAACAATGAGGCATCTCCTTTCAATTGTAGTGGTGTTTTCACAGCAGCTCCCACAGAATCTTGTAAGCGTTCCAGAATTGCAGTATCTTTATGCAGTTCAAACTGGAAACTGACATCTACATCACCATATTGTTCCATTGTCCTTCAGCTGTGGGGTCAAGTTCTTCTTTACAGGGTGTCAAAGTTCATCTTTTGCCTGAAAATAAAATTTTGGATGTTCCTGATTAAGATATTTGACAATTATCCTACGATAGACTAGAAAAAAAGAACAGTGTGGGGTACAGAGAGAAGAGATCACTGCAAAGTGTGCAGGAGAACTTTCTGAAACAGTACAGTTCCAGTTCCAGGGAGGGAGTTGTACTTGAAGTGGTCCTAGGAAATGTGGCAGGCCAAGTGGAGAACATGAGAGTGGGGAGCATTTGGGAAACAGTGATCATAATATAATAAAGTTCTATTAAAGAAGGATAAAAATTACTCAAAGATTAAGATCCCAAACTGAAAAACTGCAGATTTTAGGGGTATAAAAGTTGAACCAGAACAGGTTGATTGGAAACCAATTTGGTGGATAAAACAATGAATGAAAAATGGGAGACTTTCAAAAAGAAATGAATAGGGTGTAAGCTAGATTCATACCCATGAGAAATAAATACAGATATCCAAAGTTAGAATACTCTGGATGACTAAGGATATTGATGAGAATATATGGAAGAAAAAGGAGGCATATGATGCATACAGGAATAATAACAGCAGTAGAAATCACGAACAGTATGTCAAAGGCAGGAGAAAGGGTAAGGGTAACAGAAAGAGTAAGAAAGGCTAAGAAGAGGCATGAGGAAAAGATAGAAGCTTCGCTAAAACAAATAGTAAAATGTTCTTCAAACATATTACTAGTAAAAGGTTAGGGAAGGGAAGAGTAGGGCCCATAAAGGAGAAACAAGGTAAACTGCTCACTGAAGCTAAGGGTATGGCAGAGGTACTAAATTAATACTCTGTTTCTGTCTTTACCAAATTAGAAAATGGCGACAATGGCCCAGTGTTCAGCAACTGAGCGGTTTAGTGATAGACAAAGAAGAGGTGCTAAAAAGGCTGGCTGCGGTCCAGGTAAAGAAGTCGCCAGGCTTGAACAGGATGGCTGAGAGAGATAAGGGAGCAAATTACAGAGCTGGACATAAAGTTTCAAGGCCTCTCTGAACACAGGATTAGTCCTGGTGACTAGAGAATTACTGACGTGACGCTGTTCATGAAAGAGGCAAAGGATAACTCAGGAAACTACAGCCCTGTCAGCTTGACATCAATAGTGGGAAAACTGATGGAAGTCATAATAGGGGAAAAGATAATTATACACTTCAAGAAAAATAAGTTAATACTGGACAGTCACACTAGCTTTGTCAGTGGGCAGGTCATGCCTGACTAATGAGTTCTTTGATAAGGTGACACAGGCAGTGGATGAGGATAGTGCAGGGGATGTTATACATTTGAATTTTCAGAAAACATTTGATATGGTGCCCCATGACAGGTTGGTTAGCAAATTAGAAATGTTTGGGTTTGATGGGTCCTTAGCAGCATGAATTAGAAGTTGGCTAAAAGATAGGAAACAGAGGATAGGTATTAGATAGGCATTCTCAGACTGGGGATGAATTGACATTGGTGTTCCACAGGAATCGGTGTTGAGATGCGTGCTTTTTCTGATTTATATAAATGATTTGGACGTTCGTACTGAGGGCAAAATATCTTAAATTTGCACATACAAAGCTAGGGTTAATAGTGGATTGTGAAGATGATGCTGAGCAGCTTCAGAGGGTCATTGACAAGTTGGCCGTGGGCAGATGCCTAGCAGTTGAATTTCAATTCAGAGGAATATGAGGTAATGCACTTTGGTAGAAGAAACATGGAGAGGTAGTACAGGCTCAATGGTACAGCTTTGAGGGGAGTCCAGGAGCAAAGGGACCTCGGGGTTCAAATGCATAATTCTCTGAAGATGGCCAAACAAGATGAAACAATTGTTGGGAAGCTTATAGGATCCTTGAGTTTATAAATACAGGCACAGAGTATAAAAGCAAGGAAGTGATGCTACATCTCTACAAATCATTGGTCAGACCACATTTGGAGTATTGTGTCCAGTTCTGGACACCTTATTTAAGGAAGGACCTTAAAGCTGTGGAGAGGGATCAAAGGAGATTATCTGGAATGATACCAGGAATGAGGGATTTTAGATACAAAGAAAGATTAGAGAAATTGGGTTTATTCTCCTTGCAGCAGAGAAGAACAAGAGGTGACCTTATTGAGGTGTTAAAAATTATGGACAATTTGACAGGATAAAGAAAGATATTCTGTTTCCACTTGTTGGTATGTCATGAACTAGCAATTACAATTTAAAAATTATCAGCAACAGAGCTAGGAATGAGAGGAGGAGAAATTTCTTTACTCAGAGAGTTGTTAGGATTTGGAAAGCACTGCCTGGGAGAGTGGTGGAGGTGAATTTCAGAGGAGGTTTCAAAAGAGAGCTGGATATGTATTTGAAAGTGATGAAGTCAGAAGGCTATAGAGATAGGGCTGGAGAGTGGGACTAGCTGGGTAGCTCTTTCGGGAGCTGGTACAGATGAGATGGGTTGAATGACTAAATATTTATGAAGAAGATTTATTGTTCCTTGATGCTGGAGTGAAATAAATTGATTATAAATCTCATCAGATATATTTGTATTTAATTATATACACATTAGGCTGAATCTATGAAAAATTAATCTGCTAATAGTGAAACAATAATTAGCTAACATATTCAGCAGATTAAGTGATGTGCTGTAACTTGTGAATCTACAGACACTGACAGCTGACTTACATAGTCTCATGATTTGTTTCACACAAACAGAAACTTGTCTTTAATGTTCCTGTTAGTTCTAAGATAAACATAAAAGAGTTCCAAACCCTCAAAGGAATTAACAAGAAATGTGGGAGAGAACTTAATAATATTATAGGTGAAGGGTGGTGGTGATGTAGGTGGGAGTGGTTGGTTGGGGGGAGGAGCTGGTGGGATGGGAGGAAAGAAAGAGTCAGAAATAACGATTTGGAAGAGAAAGCAACTTACAGGAAATCAGGCAGAAGACGTGAAATAATTCAAAGAAGATAATGATGATATTAAAAAATGAAGATAAGCAGGATGCTGAGACAGCAAACGGAAAAATTGCGAAACCAAAGAAATCTGAAGTATTCTAATTCAAACCTCAAATTAGACAGAAAAATAGTTCTGGTTAATGAATTGGAATAGGTTGGTGAAACACATATCTCTGAAATAATGACCATAACACAATTGCCCATACTGCACTGAAAGGCAACAAAATAACTGATGCAATGGTCAGAGGGCAAAAAGAAAAAAAGGGCAAAAAGAAAAAATAGGCTAAGAACTCAATCAAACAGTACCTCACTGTCTTGGGCTTAAGAGGAGAAAAGAAGTTGTCATTTAAATTTATACTCATTCCCCTTTGCTCTGTGCCACTGGCAGAAGGAAGCATGGTTTAACAATGGGAAACATTTAACCAGATGTAAAATATAGCAGTCATGGTACACATCGGTACCAATGACATAGGTAGAAAAAGGACTGAGAACATGTAAAACGAGTACAGGAGGTTAGGTTGGAAGCTGAAGTCCAGGACAAACAGAGTAATTATCTCTGGATTACTACCAGTGCCACGTGATAACGAGGTAAGAAATAGGGAGAGAGTGCAGCTAAACACGTGGCTACAGGGCTGGCGTAGGAGGGAGGGCTTCCATTATGTGGATAATTGGAGCACATTCTGGGGAAGGTGGGACCTGTATAGTAAGGATGGGTTGCACCTGAACCGGAAAGGCACAAATATCCTGGGAGGGAGGTTTGCTCGATCTATACGGGATGGTTTAAACTAGATTGGTAGCGGGTGGGGAACCGGATTTGTAATTCAGAGGATGAGGTACTCAGCCTTCCAACAGACACAACAGGGAATGAGGTTGTTAATAAAGAAATGCGGTCGATGGAGTGAAATTGCGGACACAGGGATGGTTTGAAGTGTGTATATTTCAATGCTAGAAGTATCAGAAATAAGGTAGATGAACTTAGAGCATGGGTCAGTACTTGGAACTATGATGTTGTGGCCATTACAGAAACTTGGGTAACTCAGGGACAGGAATGGTTGTTGGAAGTTCCGGGATTTAGATGCTTTAAAAGAAATAGGGAGGGTGGTAAAAGAGGCGGCGGAGTGGCATTGCTAGTCAGGGCAGTTCGAGAATGATATGTCTGCAGAGTCAGTTTGGGTTGAGGTCAGGAACAAGAAAGGAGCAGTCACTTTGTTGGAGTTTTTTTTACAGACCCCCTAATAGTTGTGGTGAAGCGGATTGGGAGGCAGATACTGGAAAGGTGCAGAAGTCACAGAGTTGTAGTCATGGGTGACTTCAACTTTCCAAATATTGATTGGAAACTTTTTAGTTGTAATAGTTTAGATGGAGCGGATTTTGTCCAGTGCGTTCAGGAAGGATTCCTGACACAGTATGCAGATAGACCAACACGAGGAGAGGCCACTTTGGATTCGATGCTTGGCAATGAACCGGGCCAAGTGTTAGACCTGTTGGTAGCAGAGCATTTTGGCGGGAGCGACCATAACTCTGTTACTTTTACAATATTCATGGAAAAGGATAGGTACATACAGCAGGGTAAGGTTTATAATTGGGGGAAGGGTAATTACAATTCTGTTAGGCAAGAACTGGGTAACATAAAATGGGAACAGATGCTGTCAGGGAAGAGCACTACAGAAATGTGGAGATTGTTTAAGGAATGCATACTGCGTGTGCTTGATATGTTTGTCCCTAGCAGGCAGGGAAGATGCGGTCAAGTGAGGGAGCCTTGGTTCTTGAGAGAGGTCGAACGACTGGTTAAGAGGAAGAAGGATGCTTATATAAGGTTTAGGAAACAAGGATCGGAAAAGGCTCTAGAGGGATACAAGTTAGCCAGGAAGGAGCTGAAGAAAAGGGAGAGCTATAAGGGGGCATGAGAAAACCTTGGCAGATAGGATCAAGGAAATCTCCAAGGCTTTTTACACTTACGTGAGGAATAAGAGAATGACCAGAGAAAGGGTAGGGCCGATCAAGGATTGTAAAGGGAATTTGTGCACGGAGCCTAAAGAGATAGGAGAGGTCCTTAATGAATACTTTTCTTCGGTATTCACAACTGACAGGGACCTAGTTGTAGGGGAGGACAGTGTGAAACAGGCTGGTAGGCTAGGGGAGGTGGATGTTAGTAAGTAAGATGTACTAGGGATTTTGAGGAAGTTGAAGATAGATAAATCCCCCCGGCCTGATGGGATTTATCCAAAAATTCTATGGGAAGCGAGGAAAGAGATCGCAGGGCCTTTGGCGATGATCTTTTCGCCCTCACTGTCCATGGGTATAGTGCCGGAAGATTGGAAAGAGGCAAACGTCATTCCCTTGTTCAAAAAAGGGAATAGGGATAACCCCGGAAATTACAGGCCAGTTAGTCTTACTTCAGTGGTGGGCAAACTATTGGAAAGGGCTCTGAGAGATAGGATTTATGATCGCTTGGATAGACACAGTTTGATTTGTGATAGTCAGCATGGATTTGTGAGGGGTAGATCATGCCTGACAAACCCTATTGAATTCTTTGAAGAGGTGACCAAAAACATGGATGAAGGTAGAGCAGTGGATGTGGTATACATAGATTTAAGTAAGGCGTTTGATAAGGTTCCCCATGGTAGGCTCATGCAGAAGGTAAGGAGGCATGGGATAGGGGGAAATGTGGCAGATTGGATTCAGAATTGGCTGACCGTTAGAAGACAAAGGGTGGTAGTGGACGGAAAATATTCAACATGGTGCTCTGTTACGAGTGGTGTACCACAAGGATCAGTAAGTTCACGGACGATACGAAGGTGGGTCGAGTTGTGGATAGTGCAGAGGGCTGTTCTAGGTTACAAAGGGACATTGATAGGATGCAGAGCTGGGCTAAGAAGTGGCAGATGGAGTTTAACCCTGAAAAGTGTGAGGTGATTCATTTTAGAAGGACAAATTTGAAAGCAGAATACAGGGTTAACGGAAAGATTCTTGGCAGTGTGAAGGAGCAGAGGGATCTTGGAGTTCATGTCCACAGTTCCCTGAAAGCTGCCACCCAGGTGGATAGAGTTGTTAAGAAGGCATATGGTGTGTTAGCTTTCATTAATAGAGGGATTGAGTTCAAGAACGGTGAAATTATGCTCCAGCTATACAAAAGCCTGGTTCAGCCACATCTGGAGTATTGTGTCCAGTTCTGGTCACCTCATTTCAAGAAAGATGTGGAAGTGCTGGAAAAGGTGCAGAGGAGATTTACTAGGATGTTGGCTGGAATGGAGGGAAGGTCTTACTAGGAAAGGTCTTACTAGAGAGCTAGGGCTTTTCTCTTTGGAACGATGAAGGATGAGAGGTGACTTGATAGAGGTGTACAAAATGATCAGAGGTATAGATAGAGTGGACAGCCAGAGACTTTTTCCTAGGGTGGAGGTAGGTATTACGAGGGGGCATAGTTTTAAAGTGAGTGGAGGTAGATATTGGGGAGACGTCAGAGGTACGTTCTTTACTCAGAGAGTGGTAGGGGCGTGGACGGCATTGCTGGAATGGGTAGTGGAGTCGGCCTCATTAGGGGCATTTAGCGGCTACTAGATAGTCATATGGATGATAGTATAAGGTAGGGGTGGAGATTAGATAGAGCTTAGGTTTAGGGTAAAATTTCGGCACAACATTGTGGGCCGAAGGGCCTGTACTGTGCTGTACTGTTCTACGTTCTATGTTCTATTTAAATCAGATGTTCTAGCAACAGCAAAAGATCTGTTTCTAGTCTGGATTCCAAGGATCAAATATGCAAATTATAATAAAATTATAACTAAGAGAAAAGCATTTAGTACTTTCACAGCAGATAATAAAAGTGCAAGTCATAATAAATAGGAAGAATATGCAGGTAAGCTACACAAATAGTTAAACAGATTATAAGGGAGAGAGACTAACAAAATACAAAATAAGTCTTTCAAAAGGCACTGCTACTGTTGATAGCAACAGTAACAAGTGGACCCAGGTGGATCTTGTTGATTATGAGGTCCTTGATTGGAGCTGTCAACCTGGGCCAATCAGGAAGTCCTGGCTGACCAATATAACCAGGGGATTTAGAATCCTCTCAGTTCAGGGAACTGACTCTGACCTGGCTGGCCACAGCCAGTGTACTGTGCACAAGTAAACACAGGGTGACTTGGTGATGGGGATACTGGCCTCTTTGCAGTTATTTCAGTAACAATCACACTAAGGTCACTGTGGTGAGGGAGAAAACTTGTCGTTTAGAATGCGGCAATGGTAGGAATACTAAACATTGTCTCAACTTTCAAAAGAACTAGATGTTTAGACTGTAAAACCACCAAAGCTAACTGTGGAACAGAACAGCATATCTGACTGTCAAAACCTAAGACTTGAGACTTTAATTAGCGTGTAGCTGTAGTACAGTATTCAGTTCCAGGTTCCCCATTTTTACATATAAAAGTATGTAAAAGTTTCAGCTTAGATTCATGAGGGTCCTTCATAAAGATAATAAGAAGTTTGGAATTTGATATTTTTCACTGTAATTGACAAGGGATCGGTGATCTGCTTAGTATCTTCTGAATTTAGGTTACATGAGGGAAATTTTATGGAGCCTGAAAGAGCAAGAAACAATGTGCAGTGTGTTTTAATTAGGTGGGATGTGAAATTCCAATTTCCCACAGTGAATTGAGATGCAGAAGTAAAAGTATATGTGTGTGGTGTGCCAAGCATCAGATGACCCGTGATGAACTCATACTTTTAATATATTTGCAGGCTATGAATATTCACGAGCATAATATTTTTAATTATGACCTACCATCTAAGATAAAGTCTTGTGACACACGGTTTATATTAAATCAGAGAATTTTACAGTACAGAAGGAGGCCATTAGACCTATTCTGTCTGTACCAGCTCTGGAAAGAGCTACCCTGCTTGTCCCATTCTCCAGCCCTATTTCCGTAGCCCTCTGAATTCATCCCTTTCAGGTTTCATAATATCCTTCTATAGCAGGGAGATCAGAATTGCACACACTGTTCTAAAAGTGGCTGAACCAATGTCCTGTACAGCTGCAACATAACCTTCCAACTCCTATACACAATGCACTGAACAATAAGTAGTTTCTCCTCAAATATATCCAGTTCTCTTTTGAAACCTTCTATGGAATTGGTCTCTGCCACTCCCCAGGTAGCGCATTCCAAATCCCAACAACCCTCTCAGTAGATTCATAGAGTCATGGGTTGTGCAGCATGGAAACAGACCCTCCGGTCCAACTCGTCCATGCTGACCAGATATCCTAAACTAATCTAGTCCCATTTGCCAGCATTTGGACCAATTCCCTCTAAACCCTTCCTAATCATATACTCATCCAGATGCCTATTAAATGTTGTCATTGTACCAGCCTCCACCACTTCTTCTGGCAGTTCATTCCATACATGCACCACCCTCTGCGTGAAAATTTTGCCCCCTAGTTTTCTTTTATATCATTCCCCTCTCACATGTAAACCTATGCCATCTAGTTTTGGACTCACCTACCTGGGGAAAAGACCTCGTCTATTCACCCTATCTATGCCCCTCATGATCTTATGAACCTCTATAAGGTCACCCCTCAGCCCCTGACGCTCCAAGGAAAATAGCCCCAGCCTATTCAGCCACTCCCTTTAGCTCAAATCCTCCAACCCTGGCAACATCCTCGTAAATCTTTTCTGAACCCTTTCAAGTTTCACAGCATCTTTCCTATAGCAGGGAGACCGGAATTGAATGCAGTATTCCAAAAGTAGCCTGGTAAATGTCCTGTACAGACACAAAATGACCTCCCAACTCCTATACTCAATGCACGGACCATTAATTACAGCGCTTGTGGTGCAGTGGTTGTGTTCCCACCTCCAGTCAAGCGATAACCCGCCTTAATAGGCAAGTCACCACTGCCTAATAAGAATTTCACCTCGATGCCCAGAACCTAGTTAAAAGATGCAGTGAGTCACTCCCAATGCCAAGATAGGCCTTGCTGGGTTTCTCATGTGATTCTACCAAAGCCCACATCATTCAGACACCTGTAAGATTCTGCCCATAGTTAAGAAGTCAAATGGCAACTTGGCCCTTTTGCAGGTGGTTTTGAATACAAGAATAAATCCTCCCACAAGCATAGAACTTTGGTGAGACCTCACTTTCAATACTGTGGGCAGTTTTGGTCTTTATGTCTAAAGAAAGACACACTGGACACAGGTGCAGAACTGTAAAGGTTCACTTTTTAGATGAATTTATGAATAAGAAATTTGTCCTGTGAGAGAGGCTGTGTAAATTTACCCCACCATCTTTGAAGACAAAGCCGTGATCTAATTGAAACATACAAGACTGTGAAGGAACTTGACAATGGGGAGGTGATGGCCTAGTGGTATTATCGCTGGACTGTTAATTCAGAGACCCAGATAATGTTCTGGGGACCCGGGTTCAAATCCTGCCATGGCAGATGGTGGAATTTGAATTCAGTAAATATCTGGAATTAAGATTGTCGGAAAAACCCATCTGGTTCACTAACGTTCTTTAGGGAAGGAAGCTGCCATCCTTACCTGGTCTGGCCTACATGTGACTCCAGACCCAGACCCACAGCAATGTGGTTGACTCTTAACTGCTCTCTGGGCAATTCGGGATGGGCAATAAATGCTGCCTAGCCAGCGATGCCCTCATCCCATGAATGAATAAAGGAAATAAAAGTTAGATACCAAGAGGTTACTTCCCTAGTTTGGAAATCTTCAACAATCTCAGGATAAGGGTTGATCATTTAGAACCAAGATGAGGAGAAATTTCTTCACTCAAGTGGTTTACGAATCTTTGAATAGATTCAAGGTTGAGACAGATAGATTTTTGATATCTCAGGGAACAAGGGAATAGAAAGAGTGGACAGAAAGTGGAGTAAATCAGCATGATCACACTAAATGTCAGAATGGGCTTATGGGCTCACGTGGCCTATCTCAGTTCCTTCCTTTTCTGTTCCAAAGATGATTAATGTTCCTACAGTTTTGCTGTAACCAGCTAATCTCAAATTGTTCTCCAATTCATTGCCTGTAATGATTCTTCAAAGATTTTTTTAAAAATCTATACTGTACCTTTGTTCTTTGACATACACAAGGGAAAAGGTCATCTTTTGGCTGGTCCACTGGTTCCATACCATCTCTTATCTTTGGTTCACTGACCTGAAGATCAGCATACTCCTGTTTAAAAACACAAATTTATCAGATTCAATACAGTGTGGTTGCACTTACTGTCCATTTTACATTTTGTTTGCTCAATTCTGTCCAATTAAAATATATTTTCTCATACTACGGAACATTCTCTAATCACTATAGAAATCAGTTGACCAAATTATTATGTCAAGACTCAGTTGCTTCTGATTACATTCTAATTTTGTCCTTTTCTATGTAGCAGGCTTCGCCTTTGATTGGCACCTACCAATGGACGGCATGACATGTATCAGGACATCAATAAAGAAATACTGGCACAGAGCAAACTACCCAGCTCACCAAGCTGGTATAATCTACTTTAATCTCACTTTGCTATTCTTTTCGAGGGTAGTGTTCTACAGAGATTGAATATGCATCCCAGCAGCTGGCAGAGCTGTGCTTCTGCTCTGTCTTTTTGTCCATTACTAAACTTCAATTGACCTTGGAGCAAAGACTTATAAAATTCAAGTAAACTTACATGCAGATTTAGTGTTTTCTATGTTATATATTCACCCACACATTGCACTGCGACATGTACTTTTTTAGATCAATATAGTAGATCTCAAGCTCTGAGGGAAGAGTTATTCCCAAAAACAGTGACAGCAAATTTAACAACTAAAATTCTTTAAGTCTGCAAAATACATGTAATTAGCTGACTAAGGCTACACAAACTGCAAATTTATGTGAATCATATTACAGATATTTGACCCCTTCTTGTGTGAATATACGAATTCCTAAGTTCACAACTGAAATCTCCCATTAACATTGACAGTATAGTTACACCACTGATGGGAAGACGCAACAAAGTGTGACAAGTTTACATTCTACTGTAAACATGGGAGTTTATACTGATGGAAGTTGGTAGGAGCTGTGGCCTGATTTTGTGTGTGTGTGTGAAAGAGTAAGTGAGTGGGGTGGGGGTGTGGTGGCAGTATTTCCATGAAGCTCTATAAGCATGTCCTATGTGTCACTCAAGAAATTATGCTGTACTAAGTGTTTACAAATGTTTACAAATTAAAGCTAGAAGATCTATAAGCCTGTTTAAAACAGCGCACTGGGGTGTTTGGAAGCTTGAAAATTGCATTGCACAGAATTTTGCCTAATTTTGTTTCCATGAGAAATTTTATTGGTAAACAAATTTAAAACAACACTTTACACTGTATAAAATAAGACTTGATGCTGTGGTATATTCTGTTCTCTTAGATACCTTGAGAACATGGTGGGCACCTCACACATTCCACAGCAATTCACCTGGAGCTATCTTAGCTCAAATTCACCAGACAGTAAAGATTCAGGTTTCAGTTTATTGAAAAATTAGTAAGGATATCTGTATTGAAAATAAGTGTTAAAGGTTTTTTTCTTCTGAAATGTGCTTGATTAATAAAGTATATTACCTATTTGATAAGATTAAATTAAACTGAGTTGTGTTCCCCAATTCCATTTTGATAACAGATAATTGAGTCCTTGGGAATGGATGAATTCTTATCATTTGAGATAAATGTAATAGTGACTACTGTGATCTTAACATTGGTAGCATATGGCCATAGTTTTAACACTATGTCTTGGTGGAAAAAAAAATTGAAAGAACGTTTTTCAAGGAGTAAACTGTTCATGAGTCAAGACAATTCCTTTAATCAGTTAGTTTGTCCCTAATATAATCACTCAGCTACTGTTGAAGTATGTGTCACAATCCTCTCTTGGTTACAAAATTCCAAAGTTTAACAAACATATCTCGTAAGATCTATCCCAGATAAAAACTGATAAAGAGAAACCATAAGATAAAGAGACAACCATAATCATCTTCTCAAGGTTTGATTTGGAAAAAAAGTGCAAGGACATTCCCTTGATACGGAAGAAAGTCCAATAAAGCGTTTTGTGCTAAGTAATTTAGCTTTATTTCAGAAAAAGCTGCTCGGTGTAAGACATTAGATCATACAAATATGAACATAAACAGCAAGTTCAGGGCACCCACAAGCCAAGAATGTTCAAAGCATGAGAACTACAAAATATTTGAATGATTTGATTGGATTTATAGAACAGTACAGCCAAGGAGCAGGCCCTACAGCCCATGATGCCAAATTAAACTAATCCCTTCTGCCTGCCCATGGTCCATATCCCCCCATTTCTTGCTTATCATGTGCTTATCTAAAAGCCCTTTAAACACCCTCATCATATCTGCTTCCACTACTACCACTGGCAGTTCATTCCAGGCTCCTACCACTTTCTGTGATTTGAATGATTTTATTGTCACGTGTATTTTAAAGTGAAAAATACAACAAAATAAAGTGAAAAGCTTTCATTTGTTGCCATAACAGCGCCATTTTGATAGTTTAAGAATAAGAGAAAATTGCAAGACATAGTTTAAAGAGAAGTCTATCCACGATCAAGTTCTGAGTCAGCCACTGTTTTTTAAAAAAGTTAGTGGTTATGCTATTTGACTAATAAGGCAGAGATGTGTTTAAGTTCTGAATATTAATTGCTTTTAATTAGATAACTGAAATCTGAAATAAAAATTTAGTATCAATACTAGATACAATTATTGAGCCTTTTAAAATGCACAGTCTCATGGCAACCTCAAAGTTACTCTGCAGAATTCAGCCCATGTTGCCACAGATATAAGTAAATCACCTGCACACTCAAAAGAGGTTACATGAAGTTACAGAATTATCATGAAAACTCACTGGTTCATTAATACCATTAAGGAAACTTGCTCTCCTCACTCAATCTGGCCTATGTTTGACTTCAATCCCACAGCAAAGTGGATAACTTTTAACTGCCCTCTGAATTAGCCTAGCGAACCAGACTGTTTTATCAAAGCAACTATGAACATTTATAATCTCCAAAAACTATAGCGGTTCAAGAAAGTGGCTCACCACACTTTCTCTAGAGCAATTAGATTTGGGTAATAAGTGCAAGTCTCGCTGTAGACACTGTCATCCCACTAGTAAATAAAAATTCTTAATCTAATCTCATTCATCTCAAATAAAGTTTCATTCAGAGGAAATGTTTCCTTGATTTACCATTTTTATTAAAATCTTAAAACGTTTTTTAAACATATTATTTTGCTACAGATTAACTCCTATAAAATACTGTTGATGTTAGGAATCTGAAATTAAAAAAAAACAGAAAATGCTTTGTTTCCACATATGTTGCCAGATCTGCTGAGTTTCTCCAGCATTTTTTGGTTTTATTTATTTCTCTACTCCTCATTATTTACCTTTGTTTCCCTAGTCCTTGCATGCATAAATAGTTACATTTTATTATTGTGCAATGTTTTAAAATGAAATTTATCCTTTTATTTGAAATATCATCTGTTTGTTAATTCACATACAATTTGTGATGGTTCAGATTTATATTAAGGTAAAGTTTACAGAAAGTGAAATCTTGTTTATAATTTCTATATAGGTTCTATAACAGCCTAATGGTTCCAAGATGCTTCATGAATATAAACTGACATTTGACCATGGAGTAAGACATCAAGAAAAGATGGTTTTGAAAAGACTGAACATAAAGGATGAGCCTGGGAGAAGCTTTATAGAGGGGGGACTAAGAAGCCGAAGCCCCTCCTATCAACAGTGGGTCAAAAGGGGGTACCCAAAAAAAGGCCCAAATTAAAGAATAAAAGGCACTCGCTGTGGGGTTGGGGAACAGCATATAGAAGAGAGTTACAGAGATAGGGTGGGAAAATTTACAGAGGTACTTTAAGCATGCACTCAGAATTGAGAAATCATTACTGCATAAAAACTGTATTACATTTATACCATACCCTTTAACGAAGATGTATAAAATAAAGACTTGAGGTTTCAATATTCAAATGTCACGGAGAAATTCCTTATATTCTTGAATAAAGAAGGTAAGGTAAGTCCTTAACAATCTCACATTCATGAAATAGCCAATTGGTTCTTTACAGTTGGACCTGCAACATTAGATCTCTCTGAATTTTAGTCACTGTTCTATAAATGGTCATTATTATTGCTGGTTACTGCGCTAACAAACTTGTCTTCATTTTTGTATCCCCATTTCCTTATAAGAATTATATCCCAGTAATTGTTTGCAACACCTAACCAAAGGACTGGAAACATATTGGGCTCATTGAAAATACAGTGGAAAAGTTAATCTACTCGAGGGGTGAATTTCAATGGACTGGTTCCAGGTTTCAGATATTGTATAACAATGTCAGATTTTTAAAATTGTAGCATTTATACAATAGCTTAGTACTAATAGCTTGGCTATTAGTAAATGGCTCACCACTAACAAATAAAATAGTTTCTGCTCAAGGTTTCGATGTCTTTTTCTGCCAATGGCCATTTGCCACAAGAAAACATTGAAACTCATTTATAATCTGTCTGAAAACCTGGGAATAGCAGTCACAACTGTTTACTGTACCCTGGGGAACAATGCATTATTGCTTGAAGATTCCCAAGTGTCACACAAAAATTATTTCAATACTTGTAAACTGCAAACATGAATTCCATAAATTGTATCAAAACCGTACGGCATTACAACAAAATCCTTTGAAATACTAAAGATTTTCATCCAATATTAAAACTTCATAAACTGATCATTATAACAACAGACTTGTTATAAGATCATTCCACATTTCTATTAATTTGCTTTGAGTATAGCACCAGTTTAAAATATGGGTGTTTCACATTGTAAATGCTTCTACTTACCTGGAAAAGTTTATAATAGTAGCAGAAGATGTGATCTGCCATAAGTTTGTTTCTAGCATAGTTCTGCCCAGCTTTTGCAATCATCTTGGCCTATGAATTAAATCGAAAATAAAAAGAAAATATATTTCCAAGAAAAGTGTTTAATACTTTTTGTCATGTCAATCTTTTTTACTTTCATGCCAGGAAGCAGAACACAGAAATACCAGTGCGAACTTAGATGTAAAGAAGCTCTTCATGATTTTAGCTGGTCCTGAATAACAGCAGTGGATGATAATTATCAAGCATTGAACCCTGATGACCCTCTTGAATTTTCTCCCCTGTACTGATCATGGCCCACCCCCTGACCAAATTGGAAAGGCAGCCCTGATGATGAGCTACCACACCGCTGATTGATCTCTGTGCAGCCATCCGAATGACTTATCGCTAATCCCTTGACTGACTGCACTGGACCTGCAGGTCAGTCTGTGGCCTACTCCCCAAATTGTACAGACTCCCTGACATTGGACACCCTGGACTGAGATGCCTTTGACTAACTGTGCCATTAACACCTGACTGAAGACAATCCTCGCAGACTTGACAAAGAATTGCTCAGTTTAGACCTCCAGACATGGCCATTTAGTTGAAGCACATTCAATGCCTTTGCTATATGGGTTGCTGGCACATGCTCCAGGTGTGACACTGACATACCACGATGCCCTACAGAAACATGATCACTCCCTTGACTGATCACTGCTGACCACCATGACAGGCTATCTACCTTTGTGTTTACCCTAAAAGGCAAGGCAGGACAGAAGTACTGGGAGCCTTTCAGCTATGAATGAGGCAGCAAAGCCCAAAGCAAGGCATGACAGAGATGTTAGGAGAATCCCAATAGGCACAAAGTCAATGAGCGCTAAGAGAACAAGCTAACAGCCCTGAGATGCACCCTGCTCTAATCCATGAGAAGGGTGTTTGCTCCCCATATGCCAAGTGGCCGGGCAGCAGCATTACAATGCTAAATCCTCTGTGGATGGAGTAGGGGAATGGTGCAGTCAATGTTCATGGATTGTGCCCTGAGGTGGCCAAGATGGAGGCTTGCTCGGAGCAGCAAGCAGTAAATTGGAGCCGGCACGTACTCACAGAGATAGAGAAATATAGACGGCAGGATCGGGAGCAGGCCATTCTACCCCTCGAGCATACTCCACCATTCAATATGATTGTGGCTGAGCATGAAGCTCAATTCCCTAATCCCACGCCCCCATTTCCCTTGATATTTTTTTAGCCACAAGAGCTATATCTATCTGCTTCTTGAAAACACATAATGTTTTGGCCTCAATCACTTTCTGTGGTAGTGAATTCGACTGGTTGCCACTCTGGATGAAGAAATTTCTCATCTCAGTTCTAAAATATTTACCACCAACCTTAAGCTATGAGCTCTGGTTCTGGTCTCCCCCACCAATGGGAACATCCTTCCTGCAACTAACTTGTCTAGTCCAGTTGGAATTTAATAGGTTCCTATGAGATCTCCCCTCATTCTTCTAAACTCCAGTGAATACAATTCTAACTGACTCAATCTCTCCTCTTAAGTCTGTCCTGCCATCCCAGGAATCAATCTGGTATATCACCGCCGCACCTCCTCTATAGCAAGAACATCCTTCCTCAGATAAAGAGACCAAAACTGCACACAATATTCCAGGTGTGGTCTCATCAATGTCTTGTATGACTGTAGCAAAACATCCTTGTTCCTGTATTCAAATCCTCTTGCTCTGAAGGCCAATACACAGTTTGCCTTCTTTACTGCCTGTTGCACCAATGCACTTACTTTTCACGATTGGTGCATAAGGATACCCAGGTCTTGTTGAACATTTCCCTCTCTCAATTTACAGGCATTCACATAATAATCTGTCTTCCTATTTTTGATACCAAAGTGGATAGCTTCACGTTTATCCACATTATACTGCATCTGTCATGCATTTGTTCACTCACTGAGCCTGTCCCACTCTAACTTTCATGTCAGGAATTGTCACTCTCCAGTCTGTTGAGCAGGAAAATACCGAACTGCATATAACTGAGGATAGAATAAGTAATAATAAGATGTTAATGCAAACAGATAGTTTCTGCTGTTCAAACTTTGCATAGAAAATCCTAACTCTTTCTCATCGTCAAAAATCTAATTCTTCTGATCTTGATACATTTTCCCAAATGACCTGTCACTGCCTACACTGTTCAGAGGCCGGAAAGATTCAGCCAGTGTCTTTATATAGTGAAACATCCCATGACATTTCACAGGAGTGTAACAAACAAAAATCGACACTGGATTAGAGAAGAAGACATTTGTTTGCTTATCTATACATTTTCTGTTCTGATGAAAAGTCATTGATCTAATTGTTAGCTCTGTTTGTCTCTCCATAGATGCTGCCATACATACTGAGGATTTTCAGTATTTTCTGTTTTCATTACAGGGGACACTGGGATCGATGACCAAAGACTTGGCAACAGAGCTATTTTAGACAGCATATCTCAAGCAAAGGAAATAACGAGGCAGAGAAGTCGAGGAAGGGAGTTCCACAGTTTAGGGCCGAGATGACCAAAGTAACTTTATAAGCCATTCCCAAACATCTTTATCCAAAGCTTTGTCTTTCAATCACAGTGAACCACCAACTTTCAAACATGACACTCTTACTTATAAACAAGACTGTATGCTTTGCAAGAGAAAATTACAGTTTTAAAGTAAAGAATACAACATTTATTCTACTACAATATTATATTCACACAATTACAGGATCTGAAGATCACAAAGATAGAAGTATGCTTAATTCAATTGATACTTACACAATTTACTCATGCCAGCTAGATAAACAAAAAAAATACAAGGTCTTACTAACAATAATGCTCAGCTCAGCAATTAAAGGAAATAAAACATAATGAAAATTACCTCTTCATCGTGAGATTTTGCCCACAGAATCTTATCCAAAAGATCACTTAAATCATTCTTAAACGGAATATAATGCTCCCATGGTCGCAGGTCATTGTAGAAATGTTCATAGTAGACTGAATCTTGCTTTAGGATAAGACCACCACCTGCGAGCAAATAAGGCATCCTGTATGCTGCCACAGTGCCATCAATGTTGATTTGATACTTGTACTACAAAAACAAAAGTTTCAAAGGATTTTTGGATCTGATGCAATATGTTCAAATCATAGAACTTTAAGCAAGATACACAAACAGTTTTTCTTTCAGAAAAGCCATGACTATCTAGATTATTTATAATACCTCACCATCACACGCTCATTTTAAAAATCACATTATTCACATAAACATGAAATAATTCTTCCAGTGGAATCAAGAAATAAGGACCAATGATGTGATGTGCAATAACAGTTATAATTTTTTTCAATTTCCACTATATATGACTAATGCTAATTAACTGAAACTGGACAATTTCAATGCATCAATTTTTTATCCACCTAAAGCTTGTGAACTATCCTAGTGTTAAGAAATTATACTTTTTAACTCTGGACAATCCTTGTTGATGGGAAATATTTCTATCAGTATTGCAATAGAGTTCTATTACAAGTATAACCCCCAAACATTAATTTCAACTGGAAACTGACTAAGTACACTGAACTCGATTTTCAGTAAAACTATTAGCCTTAAACCCTGCTCAATATTTAAAAGCATATTTATATTTTTCTTAGAATTTCAAACAGCATTATCGTACTTGGATCAGTGAGATGAGCAAAGGTCTTTTTCCAATCTTCACTGTCTCATTTGGAGTTTTTATGACAACCTTACAGTCAGCAGACATGTTAGAATTCCACTCTGTAGCTGAATTTTATTACATCTGTAATGCCAACAAACCTCAAGGTATTTGAGGTGTGTAGTTTCTAATGTCTATAAAAGTAATTCTGTGGTTTATTATCCTGTAATTTTACAGCAGATGATGGCTACAATTTTCAGCTCAAGGTCATTTATCAAATGGTGATAACTAAGATCATCATTCCATAGAACTAAAAGTTAATTTTTACTATCAAATAATACTTTACATTATTCTGTCGTCACCCAGTAATCTCTAAAGCAACACAGTATTGTTTGGGCGCAATGCTGGAAAATGGGATCCTTGCTAGTGCTTGCCGCAATAAAAACAAAAAAAAAGCAGGAAATACTTACTAGATTAGGTATCATATATGAAGAAACAAACATAAGTTAAAGTTTCAGGTCAATAACCTTTCATTATAAGTGGAAAAAGTTGAAGATGAAACAGATTGTACACAATGTGTGTACAAAGGTAGTGAAAGGTTGGCGAGTGTGGATGGATAGAGTGCAGCTAGTAATGATTTAATGCCAATCGAGATAGTGAGCCAAGGCAAAGAAAGATGACAATTGAAGAAGAATAAAAAGATGACCTAGAGAAGCTCTAAATAACATCAAAATAGTTAACAGAAGATGCTACTGTAAAAGAAATGGGTAAACACATTTAACCTGAAACCTTTGAACTCAATATGAAGTCTGGAAAAATGTAGAATGCCTCATCAAAAGGTGAAGTGTTGTTCCTCAAACTTCTGTTAAGCATTATTAGAATTAAAGGAGGATGAGAACAGAGATCAGATTGGAAGTAGGAAGATTAGAAAAGATCAGATTGGATTCAAAATTGAAATGAGAGGTAAAATGAACAGCTCCAGATCTTTCAATTAGGCACTTTATGACCTTCTTGTCTAAACATTACATGCAACAATAGCAAATCATAAATAGTGCCCTGTTTGTTTTGGACAACAATTTCAGGTGAAGATTCAGCTGTTGTCATTTATAGCTCCTCTAGACCCACTTTTTGTATCTTGACATTTCCCATTATCATCCATTTTGTCATTTATCCTCTCCTGTCTTTCACTTTATTGCAGACCTTTTCTTTTTGATTTTAATCCCCTGCCCCATTTCTTGCTTTTAGCCTATTGTGTCTCTAGTTGTTTCCAATTTTGTCAGTAAATCAGGGAATTTCTTTAAATGAAAAGTCATCAATATTAATGCAAGCTCTACTTCATTCTCTACAACGCTGCCAGACCTGTTAATTTTCCTAGCACTTCGTTTTATTTCATATTTCCAGCATCTCCCGCAGTTTTTATATTAATCCCTGTTCAAACTTGTGTATAGCTTCTTATTAATTAGAAAAACAGCATAATTATGGGCCACAAGACATTTCTTCCATTGACTCCACAGATCTAGCTTAGGTCCTTCAATCAAAACAGAGGAATGGCTATAATTTGTTCTACAGCCATAGTGTCATATAGTACACAAGAGCTCTTCAGGCCATTGAGTCAGAACTGAGTCTTTCAGGTAAAATCTGAAGGATACCCAGCCATCACACAACATTAACAGGTAGGCAAACAGAAGAAAAATGATACACTTTAACAAAACTTTAACATTAATGCGCAGGCTTCCAGTTCATTTAACATTTAGCTTTTATGAACTTCCAATATTTGTAATTGAATGCACTAAAGAACTACAATTCTAATTATAAATCTAGAAATAAAAAAGAAGAAAGTCATTACTTTTAAAAGTTGGTTTATGAATGGTATCAGCACTAGTTTGAACTATCTAAATTTTGACGATTCATGCAGTTATTCATGTTATGGCTGATGGTTAGGTGAATGTGTCAGGATTGCTAGCACCTCTGAGTCAAAAAGCATGGGATTCCTTTCTTTCATGGACGAATGAACAGCTTCAATAACAACCAAAATATACACTTATGTCAGAACAAAACGAACTGTAATCTTTCCATTTAATAGTAAAACACATTTAGGTCACATATGAATTTGAAATGGCTGTATCTCTTTAAAATTAACCTACAATGTAAATTGTTTGCAAAACCCAGAGAACTGCCTTAACTTTTAAAGCTGAGACACGATACATGAGCAAAAATTGTATTATGCAACAGTTCAATAATAAAGATTATTTTTAAAAATGTGAATTGTGTTATAATCTTTGGAGGCATAAACTCAATTATGCTAACATATTAGGTTTCATCTTCAAAAGTTTAAATCTATCATATGAATAGTAATAGCTACCTAAAACTAATCTACTGCACACTCAGTTCAATGTCAAGTTTGGTCACACATGAAAAACACCAAACTGTTTTAATTTGGTACCTGTTACTTGGTATTAGCAGAGCCAGTGATAACAGATTGTGAAAACTAAAATAACAAATTGGAAAAACAAGCGTTCCTTCAAAAATAAGAGTTGAACTGCTATAGTGGAAGAATTCAGTAAAACTGCTAAGTGAAAATATACATTTGTTTTCTAATTTCCTCATGTTAGCTTTTGTTTTCCATAATAATGATCTCTTGTTTGCTATACTTTATTTTACATGCATTTTTATTGATCAATCATCAGAGATATCTCCAAATAAACCAATCTGTTACTCAAGTATAATTTCATCCTGATTTTACTGGAAGAAGAAAATTAATTACAGAAAATACACCAAATAAATTATGATTAAGGAATATATCTCTGTTGTGCTTTATACAATCAACAAGGATGTAATACAGTGTTATCAAGAACAAATGCATTCCAAGTTAATACAGTAAGGTTCTGTAACCTTACATTATTCAGTCTTTAAATGAAATAACATACAACCAAAAAAAAAATAGAAGCAGAATTAAGCCATTCAGCCCTTTGAGTCTGCTCTGCCATTCAATCATGGCTGATATGTTTCTCAAGCCCATTCTCCTGCCTCCTCCCCGGAACCTATCATCCCCTTACTAATCAAGAGCCTGTCTGTCTCTGTCTAAAATACACTCAACGACTTGACCTCCACAGTCTTTGCAGTTACGGGTTCCACGCATTCACCATCCTCTGGCTGAAGAAATTCCCCCTCATCTCAGTTCTATAGGGTCCTCCCTTCACTGTGAGGCTGTGCCCTTGGGTCCTAGTCTCCCTTTCTAGTGGAAACATCTTCTCCATGTCCACTCTATCCAGGCCTCTCAGTATTCAATGAGTTTCAAATAAGTTTCAATGAGATCCCCCCTCATCCTTCAAAACTTCACTGAATACAGACCCAGAGTCCTCAAATGCTCCTCATATGATAAGCTGTTAATTCCAGGGATCATTCCTGTGGACCCCCTCCAATGCCAGTACATCCTTCCTTAGATATGGGGCCCAAAGCAACTCTCAATATTCCAAATGCGATTTGACTAGAGCATTATACAGCCTCAGCAACACATCTCTTGCTCTTGTATTCCAGCCCTCTTGAAATGAATACTAACATTGCATTTGCCTTCCTCAATGCCTTAATTGGTAAGCATGAATTATTTTAATGCAAATTATGTTGCAGCTAATTAATAAATCATACCAACGTATTTCCAAATTCTCGAAACAATAAAGTAGGTTACATTTCAAAACTAGATCCACATACCTGGAAAAAATCAAAAAATGACACATGTTTTACAATTGGACCATAAATACTTTCATTATGAGGGAAAAAGAAAAAGTTTGTAAATGCAGCATCAATCAAATCAGGATGTTTGATACTGAGTTTTACAAGCTCTAGACGCTCCTTTCGGCTGTCACGTCCTCTCCAAAATGCTGTACAATTTTTGTTTTCCCAAGAAGGACCAGTGTTGGCCTGAACAGACATCATATCCAGACTTACTCTGTGGAAATCAGGATTCACAATAATTAAAAAAATTGACAAATCGTGTACCTCTATGACTCTATAAAATGTGATAAAAACTAATAAGTTCAATGACGAATTCTGTCTTGCGTATTGAATTAAATTAAATCTAATTAAGTTACACAAAGATGCAATCAAGAATAAATGAACTTGTTACAACTTAGCTGATAAATAAGAGATGTCGCGATTCAAGATGTCAAAGTGACGTAAAAGACATTTCTCGTCTGTGAAGTAAATTGATCATTCCATTCCACCACACTGCACTATTCATTCATGAATAATTGCTGCTTAGGTAGCTTACCCAATGACACTTGAAACTGTACCCCAATATGAAGTCAACAATTTTAGCTTTTAATATGAATTATAAAAGGCACAGAATGTACAAAACTCGTTATATGATTCCCTAAATCTTCTACCAAATTATTATTTAGAAGACTTTTAAAAACAGTAAATCATTATTAATTTGCACATTAAGAGTCAAATTTCTTCTGGGCTGGGAGAAACTGACCTGTGTATTTACTGACCACCCAAACCAGATGGACTACACTATAGAGTTCTGAAGGAGATAGCTGTGGATATTGTAGAGACATTGGTGGTGATCTTTCACAAATCACTGGAGTCTGGAAGAGTCCTGGAGGACTGGAAGATAACTAATTTAACACCCTGTTTAAGAAGGGAGGGAGGCAGAAGATAGGAAATTATAGGCTGGTTAGCCTGACCTCGGTCACTGGTGAGATTTTAGAGTCCATTATTAAGGATGAGATTACAGATTACTTGGAAGCTCGTGGCTAAATAAGGATAAGTCAGTACGGGTTCATCAAGAGGAGGTCATGCCTGAGAAACCTGTTAGAATGCTTTGAGGAGGTAGTGAGCAAGTTAGACAAAGGAGAGCCAATGAATGTGATCTATTTGGATTTCTACAAGGCTTTGGACAAGGTGCCGCATAGGAGGCTGCTAAATAAGATAAGAATCTATAGTGTTAAGGGCAAGGTACTGGCATGGATAGAGGGTTAGCCATCTGGCAGAAGGCAGACAGTGGGGATAAAGGGGTCTTATTCAGGATGGCAGCCAGTGACTAGCGGAGTTCCACAGGGGTCAATTTATGGGACCGTAACTATTCACATTATACATTAATGAATTGGTCGAAGGAAGTAACAGCATTGTTGCTAAGTTTGCAGATGATGCAAAGGCAGGTGGAGGGACAAGGTAGCGTTGAAAAGGCAGGGAAGCTACAGAAGGACTTGGACAGGCTAGAAGAGCGGGCAAAGAAGTGTCAAATGGAATATAGTATGGGAAAGTGTGAGGTTATGCACTTTGGTAGGAAGAATAGAGATGTAGACTATTTTCTAAATGGGGAAAGGCTTTGGAAATCTGAAGCACAAAGGGACTTGGCAGTCTTAGTTCAGGATTCTCTTAAGGTTAACATGTAGGTTCAGTTGGCAGTTCAAAAGACAAATGCAATGTTAGTAATCATTTCAAGAGGGCTGAGACTGTAGAAGGGTCTGGTCAGACTTCATATTGAATATTCTGAACAGTTTTAGGCCCCGTATCAGAGGAAGGATGTATTGGTGTTGGAGAGGTGCAGAGGAGGTTTACGAGAATGATCCTGAGGATGTAGGGCTTGTCATATTAGGAGCGGTTGAGGACTTTGGGGCTGTACTTAATGGAGGTTAGAAAGATGGGGGTTGGGTTGGGGTGGGGTGGGATCTGTTTGAAACTTACAGAATACTGAGAGGCCTGGATAGAGTGGACATGGAGAAGATGTTTCCTTTAGTTGGTGAGACTAGGACCTGGGGGCACAGCCTCAGAGTGAAGGGAAGACCCTTTAGAACTGAGATAAGGAGGAATTTCTTCAGCCAGAAGGTGGTGAATCTGTGGAACTCATTGCAGAAAGCTGTGGAAGCCAAGTCATTGTGTGTCTTTAAGGCAGAGATAGATAGGTTTGTGATTGGTAAGAGGTTGAAGGGTTATGAGGAGAAGGCACCAGAAGTGGGATTGAAAAACATATCAGCCATGATCGAATGGTGGAGCAGAACCATCAGCCAAATGGCCTAATTTTGCTACAGTATCTTATGGCCTTCTGACTTGCAAAATTCAAATTCAACCTGTGTGAGACTGTATGAGGAATTTCCGTCTTTTCCAGCAGGGGTCAGGTTTGCAGTGCATTTTGTGAACTGCAATGGACTGCATGAGGATTTTCAGTTCTCCAAGACAGCAGTGAGGCCTGAACGTTACCTCTCTACCCTCAGTTTATTTGATCCCACTGTCCAAACATCATCCCATGCTCCCTCAGACTGCTCCATGACACCTTAAATACCCTAATGCCACTGCCACCGCTGCACACCAACCATTCATTTCCATGTTTCATTTCTTTACCAGTTCCACACTGCCCCCTTTTGCCTTGCTGCATCCTCATGCCTTGCATTTTATCCTTTTTTTCTCTAACCTCCCTTCTTTTCCGGCTAACATGCACGTTTTCCCATTCCGATGATAGGTCAATGACCTATAACTTTCACTCTGCTTCTTTCTCACAGATGTGGCCTTACAGATGTGGTGCTTGTTCCTGCATTTTATTTTACATTCCCAGCAGTTGTAGCATTCTATTGCTTTTTATAAAACAAAATCATTTTCTTTCTTCAAATGGATAATGAGGTGGTAACAAGTTGTAGCATTAACTTGCTCATGTATTAAAACAAAATCTAACTGAATTCTAAATGACATACTGAAGTACCAAACAGCACTGGCATCAGAACTAAGTTTGCCTGAAAACAGTATAAAACTTCTTGGCAACAGAGCTGGTGAAGCATATTGAGATTAAACTAAATTACCAAGCAGAAACTATAAAGCAGAAAATGCTTACTTTTAAAATGCGTGAAGTTGCTTAATCAGAGTATATAATGATTGATGTTGAAATCTGAAACTACTGTATGCATGTGCCATGTATAACTAACTTTACGAGAGGATGTATGATTCAGCTGCTATTACGTGTCATGCAAATCATGATGAGGGCACTCAGTTGGTCTATTCATCCAATGTCAAAGACCTATGAAACTTATTTGAATTTCAGTAATAAAATTAAATGTATTCTGTACAAATTGCTAACGAATGCTTTCATCATTTGAAGCTTATTGTGAAATTTAAGTACTACCAGTTTCACAGAATATCATTCTGTCATTAAACCTGCATGTAATCTAACAAAGTCTAACAATCTGCTTTATTTGTTCTTCAAGATATTGTTACACACAGTACAGAATGTAGCTGGATTATCTGAGGAGTGGCAATCATACTCAGATGACAATATTCATGAGCGCACAGAAATTCAACAAAGTAAGTTTCACATAACAGAATTTGAGACGAGTAATAACAAAATCTTAAATGGTGTCATTTCAATACAATACGTAACTGCACAGAAACAGGCCCTTCAGCCCACCAAGCCTGCGCCGATTCATAATCCTTACTTAGACCGCTACTTATTGCCCATACATGGTTTCTCTATCCCTCTGCTCGACTCCCGTTCATGTGTCTATCAAGATTTGCCCTAAACATTACCAACATGTCTGCTTCCACCACCTCCAGTGGCAGTGTGTTTCAGGCACTTCCCACCTTGTGCGAAAAATTTTCCCTGCACTTCTCCCCTAAACTTCCCCCTCTCACTTGAACCTTTGCCCTCTTGTAGTTGACCTTCCACCCTGGAAAAAAGCCTCTGACTATCCACCCTACCTATGCCTTTCATAAATTTGCTGACCTCTATCAGGTTGGCCCTCAGCCTCCGTCTTCCAGTGAAAACAATCCGAGTTTATCCAAACTCTCCTCAAAACTAAAGCCATTAAAACCAGTCAATATCCTGGTAACCCTTCTCTGCATGCTCTCCAAAGCATCCACGTGCTTCTGGTAGTGTGGTAACGAGAACTGCACGCAAAATTCCAAATGTGGCCTAACTAAACTTTATACAGCTGTAACATAACTTGTCAACTTTTATATTCGATGCCCCAGCCGATGAAGGCAAGAGTGCTGGATGCCTTCTTGACCACCTCATCCAGCTGTATTGCCACTTTCAGGGATCTGTGAGCATGTATGCCCAGATCTCGCTGTATGTCAATGCTCCTAAATGTTCTGCCATTTATTGTATAATTTACATCTGAATTTGATCTTCCAAAATGCATCACCTCGCATTTTTCCAGATTAAATTCCATTTGCCATTTCTCTGCCCAAGCCTGCCATCTATCTATATCCCGCTGTATCCTTTGACAATCCTCCTCACTATCTGCAACTTTGCAAATTTTGGTGTCATCCACAAACTTACTAATCAGGTCACCTATATCTTCCCCAGATCATCTATATATTACAAACAACAAAGGTCCCAGCACTGATTCCATAAGAACACCGCTAGTTACTAACTTTCATTGCGAAAAGCACCTTTCCACTGCTACTCTCTGTCTTCCATGACAAGCCAGTTTTGTATCCATCTAGCCAGCTCACCCCAGATCCCACGAGACTCTACCTTCTGTATCAGCCTGCAATGAGGTACCTTATCAAATGCGTTATTAAAGTCCATGTAGACAACATCTACTACCCTTCTCTCATCAATCATTCTTGTCACCTCCCCAAAAAACTCAATCAAGTTGGTGAGACATTACCTTCCTGCACAAACCCAGGCTGCCTATCACTAACAAGTCCATTTGCTTCCAAATAAATCCTCTCTCTCAATATCTTCCCCACCACTGATGTCAGGCTCACTGTCCTGTAATTACCTAGACTCTCCCTGTTTCCTTCTTAAACAAAGGAACAACACTGGCCATTCTCCAGCCTTTTGGAACCTTGTCTGAGGACAAAGAGGAGGCAAAGCTATTTCCAGTTATTTCCTCACTTGCCTCCCACAGTATAGATAGATAGACCTCGTGTGGTCCTGGGAACTTGTCTAATGCATTTCAAGATACCCAAAACTTCCTCCTTCGTTATGTTGACCTGCCCGAGAGTATTCACATATCTTTCCCTTACCTCATCATCCGTCATGTCCCTCTCTTGGGTGAATACCAATGTAAAGTACTCATTAAGGATCTGACCCATTTCCTCTGGCTCCACACATAACCTTCCTCCTTTATCCTTGAGTGGGCCTATTGTTTCCCTAGCTATCTTCTTGCTCCTAATATATATATAAATTGGCCTGGGATTCACCTTAACCCTGCTGGCCAAGGACATTTCAAGGCCCCTTATAGCCCTACTAATTCCCTGTTTGAGCTCCTTCCTACTTTCTCTATATTCTTCAAGGACTTTGTCTGTTTTTAGTTGCCTGGGCCTTAGGAATGTTTTTTTTTTGACCAAACTGATAATTTCCCCTGTCATCCAATGTTCCCAATTCCTGCCATTCCTGTCCTTCATTTTCACAGGAACATGCCTGTCCTGCACTCTAATCAACTGGTCTTTGAAAGGCACCCACATGTGAGATGTAGTTTCACCCTCAGACAGCTGCTCCCAATCCACATTCTCCAATTCTTGCCTAATTTGGTTATAGTTTACCTTCCCCCAATTTAACACCTTCATCTGAGGTCAAATTTTGCCCTTATCTATACAAGTACCCAAAAATTTAGGGAATTATGGTCACTATTCCCAAAATGCTCCCCCACTGGAACTTTGATCACCTAGCTGGGCTCGTTCCCCAAAACCAGGTCCAGTACAGCACCCTCCCTCGTTGGACTGTCCACATATTGGAATGAGTAGGATGAATTTGTTGATAAGAACATTAAGAATAAATTAGTTGTAAGTGTGCTACTTCTGTGAAAACAAAAAGAAAATGATTTGAAGATCTTAAGTCGAACATGAAAACTTCAAAAATTACAAAATACCACAATTGTATAAAATAAGACATTCTTTCAAAATATCAAAAGCCTATTACTTGTGATATTTAGCATGTTCCATGTTAAAATGACCAACCCTATCCATTCAACAGTTCAATGCACATTGCAATTTAAACGTTACACAAAAAAAACTGCATGCTGCCTAGATTTAATGACATTAAAAGAATTAACACTGCGCCAATTATCTGGAGTTAAAGGCTGCTTCAGCAGTTTGCAGTAAATCTGAAGTATAAACATCAACTGTAACTTATTTATTTTCTATGACCTAAATTATTGCAGCAGTAAACTTCTTGATGTCATTAAATTTGTACAAATATTTACTTACATCAGATTAATTTGAGCGAAACACAACATACAGGGAAGTGAAGTTTTTTTTAACATTGAGGCTGACATATAATAAGGAGTTAGAGTTAGGTCGTGTGGCAAGAACACCACCTCCAGGTATTGCAAGGAGTATGCAGGCAGAAAGACTATCTAGCTGTGCAACATCACTAGCCAGCATTGGGCAGAGCTGTCCGCCAACAGGAAGGACAGTCTATTTAGCCAGCCTTTACGCATTCAGAGAAGCGTCAGCTACTGTGTGCCAGGCAGAGACAACGTTTTTGCTGCTGTCAGCACTCCCTCCACCTTGCAAGTCCATGTTCAGGCCAGACCTGCCATTTCTCCCAAGCACCACACGGAACTGCCCAATTGCTCTGCTCATTGACTGGTGCTACTTGTGCCACCTTTGCCCTTGCTCTTCGTCTTTGCCCCACTGCTAGATTCTCAGGCCAAGGCTCCAGCAGATCTGCAGAAACTTGGCCTTGTGCTTTCAAATAAACCTATTGGACTATAACCTGGTGTCATGTGACTTTTCACAATGTCCACTCCAGTCTAACACCGGCACTTCCACATCATAGCATAAAAATGACATGTCTGATGATTAACTGCTAAGATTTTGAGCATCTTTATCTGTTACAGAAATTTTTATATGTACATCATGAGATTTACTGAAAATGTTGGTTGATGTTCTTTGCAATAAATCATTCTTACATTTGAACAATTGTTTGCTCCTCGCAGAAATCATAATAGGTATAGTAACCTCTCTCTTTTAGAATATTTAAGATGATTTGGCAACATTATTGGGTAGCTTTCTTTAAGCTCCTGAAACATGGGTATTGTCTGTAATTAAATCAGCTGAATTGATACTACAGATGCTTCTATTCAGATTTGTGTCAGCCAGCTAAAATGTTATATCCTAAACAAAACTAATGCTGTCTGAAGATAACAAGGTGTAGAGCTGGATGAACACAGCAGGCCAAGCAGCATCAGAGGAACACGAAAGCTGACATTTCGGGCCTAGACCCTTCTTCAGAAATGGGGGAGGGGAAGGGGGTTCTGAAATAAATAGGGAGAGGGAGGAGGCGGATAGAAGATGGATAAAGGAGAAGATAGGTGGAGAGGAGACAGACAGGTCAAAGAGGCGGGGATGGAGCCAGTAAAGGTGAGTGTAGGTGGGGAGTTAGGAAGGGGATAGGTCAGTCCAGGGAGGACGGACAGGTCAAGGGGGTGGGATGAGGCCAGTAGGTAGGAGATGGGGGTGGGGCTTGAGGTGGGAGGAGGGGATAGGTGGGAGGAAGGACAGGTTAGGGAGGCAGGGACGAGCTGGGCTGGTTTTGGGATGCGGTAGGGGGAGGGGAGATTTTGAAGCTTGTGAAGTCCACATTGATACCATTGGGCTGCAGGGTTCCCAAGTGGAATATGAGGTGCTGTTCCTGCAACCTTCGGGTGGCATCGTTGTGGCACTGCAGGAGGCCCAGGATGGACATGTCGTCTGAGGAATGGGAGGGGGAGTTGAAATGGTTCGCGACTGGGAGGTGCAGTTGTTTAGTGTGAACCGAGTGTAGGTGTTCTGCAAAGCGGTCTCCAAGCCTCTGCTTGGTTTCCACGATGTAGAGGAGGCCACAACGGGAAGAGCGGATACAGTATACCACATTAGCAGATGTGCAGGTGAACATCTGCTTGATGTGGAAAGTCTTCTTGGGGCCTGGGATGGGGGTGAGGGAGGGGGTATGGGGGCAGGTGTAGCACTTCCTGCGGTTGCAGGGAAAAGTGCCGGGTGTGGTGGAGCTGGAGGGGAGTGTGGAGCGGACAAGGGAGTCACGGAGAGAGTTGTCCCTCCGGAAAGCAGATAAAGGTGGGGAGGGAAAGATGTCTTTGGTGGTGGGGTCGGATTGCAGATGGCGGAAGTGTCGGAGGATGATGCGTTGGATCCGGA